TGAGTGAGTGAGTGAGTGAGTGAGTGAGTGAGTGAGTGAGTGAGTGAATGAGTGAATGAGTGAGTGAGGGACGGAGTGAAGGACTGAGTGAGTGAGTGAGGGAGGGAGTGAGGGATTTTTTGGCAGCTTCTTCGACGTGTCAAGACTTTAAGAGACTGTCTTGAGTGTTGAGAAAATTATTTTTATCCCTTCGGGTTTCTTACAACTGTGGTGAAATCTGGCTTGGAAATAGGCGTCATTAGATCATCTTGGTTCTTTAAAGGGGGTTTTGGGGAGCAGTCCTGTCTTGTTTTTTTTTTTAAAAGGCAGTGACATCGCTTACTGAGTTTGAAAAGAATAACTTTTCTATGTCAAAAGGCTCTCGATGGCTAACAGTTAGAATAGCTGCTTTATAAACTTTGTAATTATAAACTTTTAGCATTCCATGACACAACAGTGTGTCAATAACACTGGGGGTTCACAGGTTCACCTGTTTTCTAAGGTGGGTTTTTCTGATAGAGAATATACACGTGTATAACAAGCAGGGAAAGCCTGCAGAATAGAAGCTTATGAGTTAAATGTCCAAGTTAAAGAGAGAAACTAAGTAAGGGTCAAGTAATTGTGATCATTGTGATTCTGCTTCCCGTCCAGACGACCCACCTGTCCCAGGTTGATGTACACGGCATTCTGGAGGAACTCCGAGGCCTCCCTGGCCCTCTTCTGGATGGCCAGCACCCTGACTGCTTTCACGCAGGCCTCCAGCTCGATCACGCCTGCGTTCTTGTACTGCGGGAGACACGAGGGGGCGTGGGGAGAGGTGGCGTTAATCGAGAGTCAACAGTCAATCCTACGGCCCTCCTCGCAGTCGGAATGTTTTCCCCATTACCACGAGACCCTGCTTGTAGCTCACAGCCCCTGCCGTGATGCAGACTGGTGGGTCAGGGATTCCCATATGTTCCTGTGTTTCCAAATGAACATCTGAGCTCGTGCTGCTAAGTCCCTCATACCAAAGCGTGGGAATTCTGACCCACACAGTCTCTCAGTCTCTCGCAGAAAATAAACCAATTAGATCCAAAACAACCCTGCTGTAATATCCTTCTCAATGAACTGGTTACAAGTTTAACGGCTGTAGGGGGGGCAGTAAAAAAAGGACGGTTATCGTAATAGTGATGACGAAGCAGCGGATCGCCTCGGAAAAGTTGGGTGACATTATAAACCAATTTCCCATTGAATCATGGATCCGGTAAATACCGTTATCTGCAATTCTGAGAGAAGTGGGCGGAAGACTCTGGTTTGTCAGCATAATACTAGTCATAAAAGGTTATCAATGAATAACAATGCTCTGTTTGCAGTAATTAGACATGCTCTGATGTTGGATGGCGGGTCGTATTCTCGTGTTGCATTCGCTGCCTGCAGAAGCCTTCAAAGCTGGTGAAACACTGCCCCCTGCTGATGATGAGGAGTGCCACTGTGCAGAGATTGGAACTCAAATTTTAACCTCCCGGAGAAGGATTTGAACCGAAGATAATTGAAAAGGGACACAATTGAGGATGATCAATGCAAACTGTGTATGTTCAGCTAGTTTTCTCACTCTGAATTCCCATCCAAAAATATAAAATCTTTCACTGAAAGGCTTTCAGAGTTTTGGGTGCTCAGAGTCTTTTTTGTGTCTAATATTAAGAGCTTTGGTTATTTTGGAGGCTGTATTTGCACCTGAGGTGATACCCCAGAGAAAAACTAAGAATTAGATTAACCAAAAAGATTCTGTGGTGTTAGGATTTTATTAAAGGGGTGTTATATCCATTTTAAGAACACTACGGAACATTTTTTCAATATATTTCAACTTGAGTGTAGTACTGAGGACCTTTATGACATGCAGAAGGAAAGAGAAGAGAAGCGAGAACACAGAATCTGTTACAGGACATCCAATTTTTGCCTGCAGACATGTGTGAAATGTTGGTGAAGGCCTAAAAAAGCAACTATGCTTTCAGGAACAAACTCTCGCAAACATATGACCTGAAAAAAAAAGGCTTTTTTTTTTTATAAAGGGAGGCCAAAAACTCTTCTACAAACATGTTCGAATAGTGCGGTCAAAGCTTTATCCAGAAGGACAGCAGAGATCCCCACAGAAAACGCTTGAAAATGGTGGAAAAGGCTGGATAAAGGCTCTGTTGGCACCCCTATCCCACCTATCAACCCATACCCAAGCTGCCACTATGCCCTACTGAACATATCCTACATCAGCGGAATAGCGGTTTGGTTTGGTTGCCTTCTCTATGAAAATGTCCCCATAAGCCTTACAACCTAAAAAAAATAAAAAAAGATCCGAAACACATCAGAGCTCGGGATCCTCGCGGTAGGAGCTGACATCCTTTAAGAAAGTCTTGTCGACAAGACTGAAATGTAAATTTCTGCTCAGTGGCGAGAGCAGCGGGATGGAGCTGGAGCTACCTGGCAGGAGGAGGATGAAATGATGACAGCTGCCCGTGAAAACAGACAGAAGCTGCTGAGGGCAGACTTGGAGAGCTAGAAAGACATTTAGCGAGAAGCCAACAGGGACAAGCTGGGGCTGTTCATTAAAAAGAAGGTGATCGGTAGCTTCTAAATCTAGATGATGGCTCTCGCCAAGAACGCTGAGGCTTCAAGCTGAGAGGTGTAAGGCTTAAGCTCAGCAGTAGAAGCCTAACTCTTGAAATGTTGTTAATCCTCCCAAAATAAAACCTTCCAAAAACCTGTGAGTATATGTTGTTTTACAGTGGGCAGTTTCAGAAAACGTGTCTTCAGGTCAGAAGTTTGATGATTTTAGGCTACACCCTTTTCAAATCTACCAACAAGCTGTGAGTTCACAACTTCTCCAGTTAGTAAAACTCAATAGCAAAGACATTTGTACTCTGACAGAACTTCAGCTGATGTTCTTGTTCTAATAAGTTTTTGTGTAAAGGTCAAAACCAAACTTTCATTTTTAGTTGTTTTGTTTTTATACTTTCATACCTATCTTTAGACTGAACTCTAAATCAGAGGTTAAACATGAGGTTTAATGGTTGTCAATCAGGGGTAATTTTACCCAAGTTTTATTTTAATTCGTGGCATCAAAAGACCGAAAACGATGACATAAATGCAAATCTGAGAATCACTTGTGTGACAGGAACTCTGTAATGGTCACTGAAATATACAGGTAAAAATATTAGCATATCAACTCTTACCTATTAGATCACCAGCTAAAAAAAAAAAAAAACACGGCTCACACTTTTTCTTTTATAAATACATTTCAAATTCAGATACTTGTGCAGAATGGATGACACCTTATGGGATTTTTCTTTATGTGCTGTTGGACTGCTCTGTTTTACATAGAGATTTCTGTTTCTGTAGACTCACCTCACTATCACGTAACTCAACATGCACCCTTATGTGGGGAGTAACGTCATAATTTTAATTCCTTTAAGACGCATTTCGATTCCAATGAATGAAATTCTTCAGACCACATATTAGGGGCAGGAGGGCTAATGTAACCTTAGTTCAAGGCAACGTTCCCATTAGGCAGCAGGATGAGAGAGAACACCAGGACAAAAACCTGGTTGCACACCGTCTTCAAAAGCCAGAAGAGGCTGAAAAAGGATTCTGGTAGCCCAGCAGGATGTTCAACAAACTTAAATCACAGAGTAAAGCCGCTGTTAAAGCTTTTTTTTATGTTTCGAAAAGATTTCTAAATTTCAAATCACATGTCCTAGACTTTCAAGAGCATTAGCTGCTGCCAACCGTCTGACTAATTCCAAAAAGCCTATTTGTTCTGCAGGGATACTTTGATACCCCCTTCTCACCCTGTACCGTCTATCTTTTACCTTGATAGCAATTTCTCACTTAACACCTGCTTTAGTTACTTTTTCAGATTTTCCTTCAATAACTAACCCTCATTGTTAGTCCTGTCCGCCTTTTCCTTTTGTTACTCAGCCGTCGTTTAATACTCAACTGCAACTGATATTCAAGAAACATTCTAAGAAAAATTAGAATTTTTTTTTTTTAAGTGCATACAAATAGAGGCCTTTTTATTATCATCAACAGGTCAGTACCTTTCCATAATAGGAGATGGCCTCCTTGTACTTCTCGATAATATCCTCGGGACTCAGGCAGTTCTTTGCTCGTCCAATCTCAGTGCTGGTGTCTGCACTGATGCCGTTGGCCGTGAGGGCACCTGCACCCGTAGGGACACAGAAAACAGGGTTAGGAGTTAGGGTCAGAATGACACCTTTCAGTCTTCTCTGCTATCAAAGCATGCATGAAAGAGGGAGCTTAAACCTACCACCAACTCCTTAAAAGATTCTTAATACCCACCACTGCCACATACATTAATTTAAGGAGAAAGTGTGTTTAGACTTAAGACTAAACACTGGCTGTAACCGCAGGTACGGTGAACTGCTCAACAGCTGAGGAATTAAAATTAATGTAAATGAATACTCCAGCAGATATCAGACAGCGAAGGCCTTAATAAGGCGGCTCACATCCAGTCCCAGAAATGTGGAAGGTAACCGCAAGCCGCATCTGAGCCAAATCTGATTAACAAATCAATCTTAGGGAGAGTTCACCGCCCAGAGAGGGGACTGTGTCCATGGCAACGGTGCGATGAGTCCGTGTAAACGTTGAGATGCTGCATTGCACTGTTTCTGCCTTTTTGAAAGGGGGGAAAAAGGGGAAATAATGCGCCACCTAAGCTACAAAACAAGCCCAGTGTTTCCGCAAAATCAGAGGAACCAAAAAATAAAAGATACAAGTATCTTTAGAGCCATTAGGGAGTTTAAAAAGCAGAAAGTTTAAGTGTTTCATGGGTGATCTGACAGTTGCCTCAAACAGAGAGGTAAAGATTCTGGCTACGCTTTAGCGTAAAAAAGGATTTTGATTTCATAATCAAGAGCGAGACAGAATTTATTTAAACAATCTTATTGATTAGAGATGAAAAGTAACTGAGATTGGCCTTTTCATTAAGAGGGTTTGACCTTAAGTAATCATTGAATATTGGGGAAGCTTGGCAGTGAAAAGGAGTAGATACAGTAAATGATGGCATATATGAATATATGTTTTTATATTGTGACGATAGACCAACAGAATATAAATCAAGCATGAGAGCAAAACACAACACATTTCTGATTCTTTTCTCACGAAACAAAGAAAAATCCAAATGGTGATTATATCCGGGCTCACATGACAACAAGCAAACGTAAGAGTGGGGTTTAGAAGCGTTACGTGGGTTAGACAATCCCTACCTGGGTCAATGAGAACCTCCTGAGCCCCTACAGACAAAGAGAGAGAATGCAGATTCACTCCATGACACCAGGCGCAATGTTAGCAGTGTTAGTCCCCCACAGTGTGTTTCATGGGTGCTGCTGCACTGCCATCAACCACAAGCAAAGAGCTGTTACAAACTGTTAGCATGTACCCACTGTGTTTTAACGAGAAAAAAAAGAGAGAGTTATTTGCACACTTAGGTTGTTAATCTATTTAGAGACAATTACTGAGCAGATTATAGCATTAGGGCTAACTGGGACTCTAACTGCATTTGTAGCCTCATTTCCTCTGTACGTCCCCTTTACATGAGACCTTTAAACCCACCATAAAGTGGACATTTTTAGAATTGAAAGCCGTGACTTTAGCTTACAACAATAAATGTAAACAATGGTGTGACATAGATAGATAGATAGATAGATAGATAGATAGATAGATAGATAGATAGATAGATAGATAGATAGATAGATAGATAGATAGATAGATAGATAGATAGATAGATAGATAGATAGATAGATAGATAGATAGATAGATAGATAGATCTAGTTACTCTAGTTACAGTTACTCATAAACAAATTAATCAGTTACAACTTTAACTAAATCTTTTAATATCATCCCAAGCGGAGCCCTATCCCTTCTCCTTTAGTCTGTCCCCTCTGATCTTTTATCCTTTACATTCACAGAAGACGCACACAGAGCAGTAATTGTATCACAAGGTGTTAACAGCATGTTAGAATGCACACGTATTAAGCAGCTCTGAGCAAAAGCTTTGGGTCAGACAGATACGTTCCCACTCGCTCACATGGGCCGGCCCGGTCTGCTCGGCCGATTGGTTCACCTGGTCTGTGGCGTTTGCCGGCGTCGGCCGGCTGAGAGATGCTGGGCTTGCGTCCCACCGTCTTCCCTGCCGTGCCCCCGGGGTAGTGGAATATTACCGAGGCAGAACACAACCCCTCCAACGCAGCTGCAAACAGACACACAGCAAACATTTCTCCATGTGTTCTAGAACTGCTCCGCTGGGCTCATGCTTTATCTAAAGGTCAGAGTCTGGGTTTTGGGTTTAAAAAGTCTTTTTCACCAGTAGCACGCCACAGAAGTTGTTTCCAAAGACACAATAATAGAAGTAATAGGAAAAGCATGAAACTAATAGATTCATTTATCAATAAATTGCCATTCGGACATGAACTGCCCTGGCTAATCATCTGATCTGTAGCTTTTCGGGCCAGTGTGCCTAGACAGTAAGACTGTTTTAACACAGTTTTATATAATATTTATTCAATAAAAAAACATGGTTGCGAATCAGGTCTTAAAGAGGTACAATAAATAAACCACACATTTTAGAAAGAAAATTCAAGTCAAACTGACAAACTGAATGTGGAATTCTATTCCCTTTACAAAGTGATGGACGTATTTTTCCAAATATTGTCTAAATAACCCTCTAAATCAATCCAAATAGATTGATGAGCAGCAACAATGGCCACACCAAGATCATTGCTGGCGTCTTGCCACCGTTTACTCTGAGGACCAGATCATTATTTTTATTATGTTCTGATATATAGAAGCTTATAATGAAAAGAGGGTGTGCCTTATTTTTTCACATGGTAGTATTTGGCTTAAGTACATAGTAATAGTCAATTTGCATCTCATTTGTTATTGATAATGAGTTTCTAGTTTATCTGATGGACAAACATTATTTTGCAGTAATCAACATAATCCATCAGTGTACTGACGGAGGATCAAAGCCCCTGTATCCATTGGAGCAGCTCCCTGCTACAGTTACTAGGACACAGTAGCTGTTCGGTCACCACAAGGAGCAAAACCTCATATCAGACATCCGAGACCCCGACTGTCATATTCTTTTTTTTTAAATGTGAAAATCAAGACTCCTGAAGGTTTACCGCCAAGCCAGAGGAAGTCATTAACTCCCCTGAGCAGCTCCACTGCCATGTGATAGTGGACCAGGGCGTCCTGCAGCATGCCCGCCTGCAGACACAAGTCTCCCACATGCTTCCTCATGCGTCCCTGGCACCTCTTCTTGTAGTGCCTGTTGAGAAAGCAGCAGGGGGGAAGAGGGGTGAGTTCAGAGGCTGCAGCCCGTGAAAAAAAAACAAAAAAACAAGTTTCTTTAGGTATCTTTAAAGCCATTTTTGTGGAAGCTCTGATTTTGAACTAATGGTATTTCTAGTCAGCAGGAGACCAGGAGAGGAGATGCATCAGTCAGTTACAAAAAGGGCGGGGGGGGGGGAAACAGGCTGGGAGAGCAAAAGCAAGACAGAGAAGGACACAGGAAATCATTGGTCCTGTGGCCCTTCAGTCTTGCACAATAGGACGGAGGAGGGCACCATTATAGCGGGATACAGAGGACGTGTAACAGCACTCGGGGAGAATCTGAATTATTGCGCAAGTCTGATCCCTGGAAATGCCGGGGAGGTCAAAGGGAAGACGATAAAGTGGATCAGCACATGATCAGAGGACTTGTGGAATGAAGTAATGAGCAGAAACTTCTTTAATATAACTACCAAATTATCTCGCCAGGGTTCGGCCAAAAATTTAAAAAGTGAGATCATATTGATCCAGTTCTGGATTATCTCCATAGTCCTGTTAAATAGATTTTAAAATTCTGCTCATCATAAATAATGCTATTAATTAATGCCCAAGCTCCACCAAGTCTTGAAGACCTCCTAATTTGATATTTTCCCAACAGAGCACTTTGCTCTGAGACTGCCGGTCTACTTGTAGTTGCCAGAGTTGATAACAGTAGAATTGGAGGTAGAGCTTTCAGTTATCAGATATCCAACAACCGATATTTGTTGTCTCCCTTTCCGGGCCCCCCAATCCCCAGCTGGTCAATGCAGGTGGCCACCAATGGCCAATGAATGAGTCCGGTGCTATTAGAGGTTTCTTCCTGTTAAATATGACTTTTTTTCTTCCCACAGTCACCTCTTGCACGCTCAGAATATTGTAATAGAATAAAGTCAAAATTGATTGCAGTTTGATGGTTTTTTAATTGACTCGTATGATTTAAACTAACTTGGCATTTCATCAAATGGAATTGATTGGACTTTTTTTTTGTGTATGTAAAAATTATTTGGATTCTCATCGGCTTAAAACATAGACATGACTTTTGTTCTGATTTGGCGCTTTACAAATAAAATTGAAACAAACTGAATGGAACAGTGAAGAAACAGCAGCTGATGAAAGAAAATCACAGCAAGTAGAGCCAGAGGAATAAGATAAGCCACTGCCAAGTTCTTGTTCTTTAAAGTTTTCAGCAGTAGCTGGATTGTAATGAGAACCATTGCAAAGCCAGGGTGTCGCTCAGACATTTAAAACAAATTCAAACTTTGCCTTCACGATGACAAATCTACTTTAAAGCTGGGATCGCAGTCGGTCCAAACCATCAGCCCCTCCTTCACAACACTGGTTTGAACTCAATTGGTGAGATAAACTTCACTAGGCGGGTTTTCATACGAATAAACATCCAATCTAAGTGGGGTTTAGGTCATTAGGTACTTAAAACTTACGTTTTCCCCAAATAATACAGATATTTTCTGGCAATAATTTTAAAATTATATAAAAGATATATCTGATATTACAGTACATGTCCTATTCATTTCAATAGCATTCCATCTTTTTGGAAGCAGGGCGGAAATTATGAGAGTGGGTCATTTTTAAGGATTTTTTTTTTTTTCCCAGATTTACTGGGCCAAATATTTGTGTTGAGGTGATATAGTTTACAAGCAAAGAAGAAACTGAGTTTCAAAGCCATTATAGACTAAACTGGGATGGATACTAGTTTAACATAAAGTTCACAGAATAGGCGGAATCTCCTTGGTCAAATCTAATCTGTTAGCCGTTTTCACCTGGACCATCTTCAGCCACCTGTTAAATTTATTCTCAAACTCTTAAGGAAAGGGAGGATAAAAATGAGAATTATCAACTCTGAAACGTACAGAGGTCAAGATCTAAAGCCTCATTGGCTGTGGAAAGGATCAAATGAACAATGAGCACATGGCCATCAAAGTTACTCAATCAGTTCAGAAAACTGTTTTGTTTGCTAGCATATTTTGCGTCCACATTGAAAGCTGTGAAGGAGCGATGAGTTTGGTTCTGAGTCATGGACAAATGGACAACAGTACGGGGTCGTTGGGGGCGGAGCTAAAGCTGATGGGATCGGGATGGGTAAACTAGGTTGTGGCTCTAACGTCTCACCTTTTCGCACCCAACAATAAACTCACAGGACAGTATGAAAGAAAAAAAGAAGAAAGACACATAAAGCAAGGCAGTGAAAAGAAAATGAATACAGCAAAAATCAAATAACAGATTTTTTGGAGAACTTGTGAGCAGGCAAGACTGACGTGCAAGGAGCAACGAAACACAAACCGACCAACATACAGAATAAAATGAGTTTTTTCAATGACTGTTCAAAATATGGCAGCATTTCTAAAACAGTTTATAAATCTAAGGAACCTAATGAACTCAGATCTAATTAATCTAAAAAAGCTAATTAACCAAATCTGAAAAGAACTCACCTGCTGTCTGTGTCCAAACCCACAAAGTCTTTCTTCTCAAAGGGCACACACAGCAGTGGTATCTTGTCCCCAGACTTATCAGTGGCTCGGTCAAGCCGCTTGGACTCCAGAACGATGAATATGGACTCCACGAAGTCCTCCACTCTCCGCTCCACGTCAGAGCACTCTTCGAAACTGGAATAGAAGGCCACGTCCGTGCGCTGCTGCTCGGTGATCTCGCCCTGGAGCCCAAACACCAGCAGCCGCGAGTCGTACAGCGTGGAGCTGTACACCTCCTTCTGACCGTGAAAGCGCTCGGCCGTCTGGGGCCACTCCTTGGGGGAGCCGCAGGTGGTGATGGCAATGAGGCCCACCACTTTGCGGTGCGTCTGGAAGTCGCCCCACTCGTTGTTTTCGGGCAGGTAATGGTGCCGGTAGCGGATGTAGAGGAGCCGCTGGGAGTCCCTGATGCTCACTTGGCTCACGCTGGCGATACGCTTGTAGATCTTGAAGAACTGATCCTCGGGCACAATCCCGACCGGCTGGACCACCACGAGCACGGTCTGGTGGTCCTCAGCACACTGCATGTAGTCCGGGACGCTCATCTCTATGTGCAGCTGTAGAGATAGAGTTAGAATGGAGGCAGTCAACATCGCTGAGATCTAATACAGAACCAACTCTGAGTCCATTTCTGAACCCTGAGGTGTCAGGTCATTCTGCTTCACCAATTATTATTTGATTCTATGCTTCCACAAAGCGATAATGCTAAACATAGAAACAAATGTTACTAATGATCCTCATAATGACACGACACAAACAAATTTTTAAAAAATCTGCAGCACTTGATTTTTAATAGAATTCTGAGCTATAACCAAACTCAATGTGCAGGTGGAAGAAGCTGAAGACAAACATTTAGATCAAACAGTTAAGGTTAAGGTCTCTATGGTTGTAAATATATTCACTGATTTCCAGTCAGTATCACTCTCAGAATTATACGAATCACCTTTTTATGCACTAACTGTTTAAAAGGGGTATAAATATACTAAGCAGTCAAACAAAAAATATATATGCAAATTATTTCCTGATTATTTTAACTGGTGGCTTTAAAATAAACAATCTTCCCCTTTAAGTGTCGACGAGCACTTCGAAACTTGTAATGCCGAAAAGAAAAAAATATTTATTGGGATCACTAACAAGGACAGGATTGAAGATTTGATCCACATTATTCTTTTTTAATAAAAAAAATATACAAATTTCAAAGCAAAGTTCCCTCATGCTAATGGTGAGACTACACCTGCTGCTGTCTTTGACAACATAAACACTAAGAGCTGTGACAGAAAATCTGACAGTTGCTAATAATAACAATAATAATAACTGAGGGGGCAAAACTTCACAAAACTGAGACCCGAGCATCGTTTTGTGGCTCTTTATCCAGCTAATATCGTTTTAAGAAGCAGCTGCTAACGTTTTGTTACATTCTTGTATGAAGTGTCAGCTAGCTTAGCTTAGCCAGCTAACCAGTGAAGATGCTGCTCACAAGTCACACAGCGTCAGTACGAGTTGGAAGAAGCAGGTCAATGGCGGGAATATCAGCTTATTCAATTTGTTCCTTTCCATATAGAAGTCAGAGTAATATAACTTACATTACCTCTGCAGGTCTCTGTCAAATTTCAGAGCTTCCTCCTTTCAGTCAGAAGAGCTAGCAAATGTGAAGCCATAGCTGAATTTCCGGTATTATCTTCAAAATAAAGTAGATAAAATGTTATGTTGCGATATTTGTTACTGGTTGTTAACGGCAACAGTTTCCCGGGTTCACGAACAATTGTGTCTTATTTCGCGTCTTAATGAGTGTGTGTTACATAAAAGACATAGTGGTGAATCGTGAATGTTTTAATAAAAAAAACTCAAATCCGTTTTACGATTAGTTCGAACAGGCAAATGTATTTGAGTTTTACGTGTTTTATTTTGATAGTAGTTTAAGCATTTCCTGCATTTCCTGGTTAGTTTATTTTTTTCTTCGCTTATCCCTCATCTTCAATGTGCTCGAACAGTATGTTCAAACAGCTACCCCTATAGGAGAAACGAGGAATTTCAACTTTGACATGCCAACCTTGTTTAATTAGTGTTTTCATTTCAAAATTGTTCCTCCCAGTAGTCAGACTTCTGACTTCGTTTGGCATTTAATACAGACTCCAGGTATAAAAGACTAAAATGTCAAATTTATGCATTTGAATTTAGCCCAAAAGATCTGTCCAAAACCTAGCATTTTAGCCATTGTTCTGTTATGGCACTTCAAAAGGTAGCATATTTAATCCATGAGTTTTTTTAAACCCTGTTTAAACTGAAGTGACCCATTTAAGTGCATACAAAAAGGCAAGGGACAATGAATCAGTGTCCCATCAAGAAATTCAAATTCACACAGACTGATTCAACTCCTTTTTATTTGCTCAAACCATAATCACTTTTCACAATCTTCTTGGAAGACAACAGCATTTTATTCCCTATTTTCTTCTTTTTGGCCAAAGACAATTGGTCCAAAAGCAAAAGCAGGAGCTCAGAATGGAATGTCTAAACAATGATTCAAAGTGAACACATCAAAAACAGGCGAAACGTCTACGACCATCGACTTACAAAACAGTGCACAAACATTAGGTGAGAAAATCACAGGGGCTCCCACGTGGGTACAAGAAGGTCAACGGCGGTTCAGAGGGAAATCATGCGGAAGGTGGAATCGATGGAATGGAATGCAAACGTTAAAAAAAAAAATTAATGAAGCCTTCAGTTTCCCCATGTGCCCCCAAAGGCTGGTAAGACTGACTTGGGTGAGCCTAAAAGCCTCGTTCTGGATTTCCTTTGAGCCTGTTCAAAATGAAACAGCATTTCAGTGCATAGTCACGTCCCTGCATCTCCAGGGAAGCCGGATCTAGAAACAGTGTCAAGTAGAGGCTACAAAGCTGAAGGCTATCGGGTTCACATCTTTACAGGCGGGACGCTCGCCACGGAACGCTCCCTTCTACCGGTTCAGCATCCGTTGGACAGTATAAGTAAGGAGAATGCAGGTCAGGTGGGACACGCTAACACTACGGTTGATATCCAATAAAGATGCAGTCTATTGGCACCAAATATGGAATGGTTTATGTATGGTCCGCGGGACACTAAAATTAAGTATGACCAACATCTTCGGCCTTTAAGGAGACTGTCAAGATCTACACCCGGACGCCAAATCCAGCCATTTCTTGGCTTGGCACGCTCTTCTTTAATGTGTAGATACTTTTCCCCCGGTGAAAGCAGCTAAACAGCTTTTAACAGCTAAACTGTGAAACCTCTGGTGGGGATAACCTATAAGTGGATTTAATACTGAAATGGGCCGGTGAATAGCATCTGCAGCACAGGGATTCCACAATGCAAATCCCAGAAATTTCCTACATTTCCCAACGAAATACATGGGTCAAGATCGCAGTCTTTTAAACTGTAGCTTCGGCACTACACGGCAATTCATTTCCTTAGGTCTGATCTAAAATGATGGCTTTGCATTAAGACAAAAGAAAAAAGGGTGATAAGTTCCGATATCAACATGACAACTGTATCTGTGGAACTTCTGTTCACAGCAAAGTTCAAATGTACCTTCAAATGATTAGCAGTCTGGGCTCTAGATATGAAATAGGTCCAAGTAAATGGGAATTGTACTGTTGGTCAAACCCTGGGAATGGGTCAGATCAGGACATTGAGCTACAGCGGGTCTCCATCTCGTAACCCAAAAACAGCGTGTGGACGCCTATGCACCAAAATCAGTTGACATCAGCGGCCTGTCTTCGATTCTTAAACCAGACTTTCCGGCCCCTTGCTACTTCAGTTTGTGTTTGCACGTTTAACTCACGAGGGCGGAAAGCTGCAGAAAAAACAGCGCGGTGTTTAAGACTGACTGATGATTGTGTTTGGTCTGCGGGGGAGCAGACTGATTCTGGGCTGAACGTTCGCTGGATTAGTTTAATCTCCAGCGATCATGTGGCCGCAGCCGAGATTAGTCGACCTAATTACAGCACTTTTACCCAGCCGGCTGATTCCTTCAGGACTAGGAGTGATTAGAAAACTCTAGTCAGACGTGTGAAAAGGTCTTGGGGGGGAAAAAAGGACATAAAAAGACACATAGGAAAACAGATTAAGACTGATTTGGAGCTGGACTGTGCAGTAGGGACAACATGCGTCTTCTGATTGGTTTGATTCAGGATTTTTGGCATTTTTCAGTATGGCGTAAACAGAGAGGAGGGTGGACGCTGTCAAGAGTTGCGGATGGGATGGGTGTAGGGGTGTTCAACAGGCCACAGGATGGCGGGGGGGGGGGGGGGGGGGGGGGGCGTGGTGGGAGGGGATGGGGTTTCAGGAGAAAACCTCACACTGCCCTCCTCACGCCAGCTTCAGGAACTGTTCCACTGAGTCCGCTTCCACTGCCTCAGAAAACATCTCGTAGTTCTACGGAGGAGGGAGAAAGAGGAGAGAAATGTTGCATTTTAGCATAGTGACTTTTCCATTCCCTCCCGGTTTGAGAAATCAGGGCCTAATCCCAAAAAAAGCTTTCGTGTCCAGAAGTGGTCCAAACCAGTGGTACAAATCCTGAATGTAATTCTTATAGAGTACCACTCATATTTTTGTCAGGTCCACATACCGGTGAAATATGAGGTTCAAAACACAAATTGTTTTTGTTCAATTCTATAATCTTGTTTTTTTCTTTTTCTTTTTTTTAAGTAGGAAGTAAATGGGGAAAAGACAACTCACTCACCTCAGGAGCACATTTTTCCAATGTATTTTTAGACAGCTATTTTGATAAACAGTTTGTTTTTTTCACCCAAAAAGTGCTAAGGCGTTGCCCCTCTTTTTGCCCCTCTGTTAGGGAACCCCAACTTTAAACCACATAAATTATGTACAAGTACAGGTGGGGTTTTCCTAGTGTTTTTTTTTTTTCTCGTCAGAATCTGAGATCATGGCTTCAATTAGAGAAGTACTCTGTTTCAGTCCCCTGTCTCCAGATCTCGGCATGCCCCTAGAAGCGGATTTACTCCAGAACTACCAACTTCTTGTTCGTGGCTGTGAAATACAAGCTAAGGATCTCCAGTTACGCTTTCACTATTGGGAATACTTGTGAAAGGGTGGGGGGGGGTAGTGGTGTGTGTGTTTTTGTCCCTCACCCCACAGTACTGCTCCTCATTGAAAAGCTGGGGAGGGACGGCTGTGGGGTCCCCCGCTTTGCTCCTCATTTCATCACGAAGCTCCCCGCCCACAGAAATGTCGATGAGCTCGTACTGGATGCTTTTGCTCTCCAGGATCCGTATGACTTCAGCCTGTTGAGACTTCACCTGAAAAAACAGACATTCCAGTCAGATATTTAAACGCCAAAAAACATAAAGACAGAAAAAGAACACCATCATTTTTGTCATCAACGGAGAGGAGGCTAACTCCGCTATTTTTTCATCTAAAAAATGTCCATCCCTATCGGTACCTGTGGTCCAGCAAAAGGCAAACCCTTCCTGTGGTAACGGGCTGTGACCCCCAGCAGAAAACCACCTAAATCATATGTATTAAAAAAATCACATTTGGCTGCTTGATAAAGAAAACAAACCAAAAAAAATAAATAATAAAAAACCATTGAAAAAAATTGAAAATAAAAAAAACTGTGAATCACAAAAATAAAAGAAAATTAAATAAAAATGAAGCTACAAATTGACAATATAAAGATTACATTGATGACATTTTAAAGGATATCTCATTAGGAATGAATAGATAAAGGTCACTGAATGACCGGTTGATTGTCCAGGTAGCATTGTGCTGAACACTTTGAGGTTTAGTCTTCCCTTATGAAAGCAAAGATTTTCAGAGATTCAGTTCCCCTTTCTTTATTGAGCCGCTGACAGATTGGCTTTGCAGAATGAAGCCTTGCCATGGACGAAGGTAAACCAATACGATTTCATTCAGGTTTTCTGGATGAAAAATCTCCATCTGTTCAGCTGGTTTTGGTCACGTTGTGTAAAAAAATAATAATAATCGTTTTAAATACTCATTCCCATTTCTGCTTCTATGTGTTCCCTTCTCTTTTCTAACTATATCCAAACATATTGTTTTGAGGTTTTATACTTTACCGCCTTAGTCAGCCTGTGTGTTCCCCCTCCCCAAACTTCCCGTTTTGTTTGCACTTGCTCCATATTTCAAGCGCGGCTGACTGGGAGCAGCCAACATCTTTTGCCACATCTTTACATCCTATGCTCTTTCGCCCATATCTATTGAGGGGAACTTTATATTTTTAATATCAGACGACTTCAGAAAAATAGACTAACTTTAATTTTTGTTTTTTGTATTTTGACAGCCAAACATCCAACTGTTAATTCTATGTTGTCTAATCGTTTATCAAGTAAAACTGCAAAATAAGTCATTCACAAGTGATTGAACAAGGTTGTCCAAGGAAATATTAACACAATTTAATGCATAAATGCAAAAAGGAAAATTGTGCAGCTTCTTGCACTTGATTTTAGGAGCGGCTACATCTCTTTTTCTACAAAAAAAACAACTCATATGCACTACTTCTCTGCAAAGATCCCCTCAAAGGATAACTATCTCAGCTAAGTCCCTGCAAACACACTGTGTGGGGTGGGGACGTCCACAAAATGACACCTTCACGGCTTCTGTATTTGTGGAACAATACAATTAAGAGCAAAGAACGAAAACAACTGAACAATAAACGGCGTGATCCCAGTTCTGTTTGGGAGGCCGTGGGTGATGATTAACAGGCGTGTGGACAGTCTGTCTTTTTGGGTGGAAGCTGGGAGGGTAGGTTTGAAAAATGGGACCACACCTAAAACCCTGACACTACACTGGAAATATACAAGGGGGGGTTATTAATGTCAGTCTGGCATCCTGGAAAAACAAGAAGTCACTTTGGGCTGTTTGATTACAGGCTACAATGCTAACACAATTTCCTAGGTGCTCTTTATTCAAAGTCTACAAAAGGGGAAGTGTTTTAGAACAGTTCTGTGTATTCAAGAAAGAGCAGTTTAGCTCATAAAACCGTTTCAGGGAGCGGTGTAAACACTCTTTAAAGTTCACTCAACCGCTACAAAACCAGGTTCCCCAGAGGCAGGAGGGGGTTAAAAAGTAACACACGTCACAGAAGTTTTGGCCTAATACGCACCAGATGTTCGGCCCAGTGGCCATGATTTTAAAATGTTGCAACATTCCTGTCAGACTATCTTTTCAGATACAGATACGTGTGCAGATGCGGGTTTTTTGGCGTCTTCAAAACTTGTTCGGATCCCCTTTAATGTGGCGGAGCGAATTATGCGTCCAGTCTCCATTAGGAAATGTAACGAGTGAATCGAATCGGGTTTATGGACGCAAAAACATACGTCAGACACGATGAATGCTCCCGTTTGTCCTCACCGGGAGATTTACTGCTTAGTTCGGCTACACATTAACTCGTCCAGGCGGCTCCGCTGGTTAGTTTTAATCAAATTTACTTTCCACTAACTTTACGGTGTGGAAAGGTGGCGGCAGGTGTGCCCCTTTGAAACCCGCCAGTGGCTTCGAACTAGAAATCCCTTAATATGTCTGGTAAATATCGAGTTGGGTTTTTGGAAAGCGAAGCATTGCCGTTTACGTTTATTCACGGGAAATGGGTGAGTTTAAACCAGCCCAATTTGCGACGAAGTTCGGAGCGAAGCCCTCTCTCTCGAACAGGAAATGGATCCAAAGTGACCACTGGACTCCGCTCCTCCGGCCAATAAACGAGCCCGATGCGCCGGTACTCTGAACACTTCTCACGGGCTATTTCCAAATATCAATTAATTGATAATTGTCTGGAAATAAGGCTAATATGGCTAATATTCTTGGTAGAAAAACACCCCCCCACCCCAGCCCCCTCCCTTCCCCTTTAGGACGCATCAATTCAAGATGAATAAAACATTATTGGGCTTAACGAGTCCTTTGAGTTTTAACGTGTTTTACGGGGGTAAAGTAGAATGCTCGGGGGGGTCTCACAGCTCCATAGAGCGGCGGTTCCCCTCCCACAGTTCTAGAAAGAGGCCCGCTGAGCTGTGCTCGGTCTGTGGGGAGCTGCTGCCGCCGATAGGGCGCTGGGTGTGTCTGTTAGCTAGCTGCTCCCGCCGGAGCTCTCCGGCCAGACCCAAACTCACGGAACCCCGCGTGCCCGACTCACCGTCCGCGAGGCAGTGACGGTGGTGTAGTACAGTTTGATCCCCATGGCCGCAGGTCCGTCCACTCTCCCTTTGTGTGCGTCTGCTTGCGAGTCGCCTCCCTTGGCTCGCGTCAAGTTTAGCAGTTAAGTTTGGAAACCGGAAGATGCGTCGGCGACGTTTTCATTTTCAAAATAAAAGCACGCGGTGGCGATGGTCAGCTGAGATATGCTCCAGTGGAAATAATGGATGGGTGGATTGATTTGGAGATTGATTTAAGAATCAAACATGGTACACACAGACAACGTGGTAAACTGACATTTTATTTATTTGGTATGTCATTGCATTGAACCGGACGATTAATTCGGTATTTATGCGGTAGTACTCAGTAGTACATTTAAACTAACTCCACAGTGTAATGGGCCATGAACAGTTATGGGCCTGTAAAGCTGAGGGACTTCCAATGGTGCACTGAGCCCCTCTCCTTCATCTGCTCTCTTTTCTGTCCATGTGCACGTGAAATTATTGCGATCAGAAACTTGTGTGTTTCTTTGGAAACAGGTGTCCATGACTGCTGGTTGACCCCAATTTCCTGTTCACCTACCCATCATAGCCAGATGGCAGCACTTCCTGAGTTTAGTGTGTTTCATCCTGTGCGAGAACAGGGAACAAGATCCTTTGATTCATAGTTTTTTTTCCTTTAACAAGGCAATTTTTCTATTCTTCTTTGAAATCTAAACGGTCAATATTCGACTAACAATCATGTATATTTGCTCACGTACACTGATTTGATATGATTACAGTGATATAATGTATTTGGCTTTAATTTGTGTATCTTGAGGTTGCCTTGGCATGACATCAGTTGTGTTTTGACATCATAGTTATGTCACAGAAGTGTTAAATATTGGCGGGAAAACAACTCTTCCACTTGACTGTGAACATTTGTGGAGTTTTAAGTGACAGTGTCAAACTAAATTATTATGTTAATGTAATTTTGTGTTGTCCCAATACCATTTCCTCCAACATTTGTCTTTTTTTTGGGGCCATTTGTGGTTATTTTGTTTACTCTTCCGCATTCTTCTCATTTGTCCCCCCACTCCTCTCCTGCTCAGGCCCACCTGGATTATGATAATGCTCAAACAACCTGTGGAGCTGCTTTTGGTTCCTGATCTGTCAAACAATCTGAAACCACATTTAAATTTGTGTCAGAAATTTGGGTGTGACATTAGTTTTGGGTTTAGCTGGGAGACGAACCGATGCTCACACCTAAAAGCAACAAAACCTGACCTAAACTCCAACAAAACCCTTTGGGTAAAGCTTAAACAGGATTATTTTGGAAGTGCTTCTGGGGGGTCAGTGGATCAATGGAACATGTAACAATAGAAAAGTGTCAGGAACCATCAAGAGACAAGCAAAAGAAGCCGTTAAGATCCACAGGGAGGGTTTACAAGCTGCTATTCTGGCTGAAGTCTCTTCACTTTTTCTCGTGGTATGACTTTCAGTCCACTCTATGTACAGAGACTGCCACATTTCAGGAGCTGTGGAGTCTTTTAAATTCCAGATATAAAAAGTAACATTTCGCCGATTGACTCCGCCAAAAAGTATCAGCTTTTAACATCAGAGACATCACACTATTCTTTAATCAGTTTCCCTCCTCCAGAAAATGGACCGAGTGGAGCAGAAGAAGCCTCTGAGATTTAAACCCCAAGGGTCACAAATTGAACTCATGGCCTCGCCATTTCACACTTTAAAGTCTGTTTGGATCACTCCTTTTGTTATTTCTATTGCAAGAATTTTGGGGAAATTCGGAAGCAATGACCAAGAGGATCCAGTTTGGTAACGTCCAATTCTGTCTAACTTAAAACATGTCTAACATCAAACCTGGCCTTTTAGAGGCTGCCAGACTTAAATCATCTGCCTGCTTGTTTCAGATATCTGCAAATCCTAGGTGAACTGTTGCTTGCTGCAGTGCTCTGCTTTTTTTTTTTTAGCCCAATTTAGGTTTACTGAGCTGGGATGAAATTTCATTATCAGGGGCGAAGCCGACTGTCTGAGTCCTGTTGTGAGTCAGACAGGAAGAATGTTGGAAAGAGTCCAACGGGGCCATGATACAGCTGATTCGGTGATTCGGGTGAATAACGGCGCTATGGTGCACAGATCACGTCATGCAAGTCCACAGTAAGACTGGTTTGTGACGGCAGACAGGCAAGGACGGACAATTCATGGTCATAGAAGTTGAAAACCAAGTATGGAGACTGAGACCAGCTCTCGGGCTCGTAGCAAAGGAGAAAACAGGGCCTTTTTCAAAGTGTTAACCCCTATTAAATGTCCACTTGTCAACACACGGGGGCAGCATAAGGTCATTTTACTGCCAAAGACACAATCAGCAGAGCCACAAGAAAGACCTGTTTAACTGTTGTGTGTATTTTAAAGGATTGCTTGAAATAAAAAGAAAAAAGAAAGGAAAATCCAGTCGGAGTCAGAGGAGAAAACTCAGAAAACTTAACACAGCACTTCCAGGTTGCAGTTTCCTCAGTTCCTTGATGTAAACTCCCCCACGAGTAGATTGCAAATCGTAATTTATTTTTAAATAGGCACGTCCAGCTGAACGATTGGGCAGACTGATAAACTGAGGCTTTATTCAAACAAATGTGCCCTTCACGGAACCATAGAAAGAAAACCTTTTCAGCATGCTCGCCACCAGATATAATCCTGTGGAGGAATCCTGTAGAAAAGTTCAATTTAGATTGACTTTTTTGCCTGTACCAAGCAAAGGCTGATGGTTTTTTTTTCAAATGTGTGAGAGTATTGTGATGAAAGGTTTCCCAACCGTTATGCATGGTGGTTGCTGATTCATGCTGCGGGCTTGCGTCACACATATGGGCTGTTAAAATTAGACCCTGTAGGATAACAGGTCTTTTTGCCCTGCCTTTTCTTTTTTTGTTAACTATAGAAGATGGAATTCTACAGTTATATTACTTACTGTCATAAAGACGTCTCATCTTTAAGATTATAGAGTTTTCTTTTATAAAATACAGGAGAATAGAATAAAAAAATTTCTATCTCTCGGTAGGGAACGTTCTTTGTGTTAGCAGCAAAGTGTAAGACATATAAAAGCACACAGATAGGCACTAAAAACACACTAAATAAATGAGAATTAGGAATAAAAGTAGGGAAAAGAACCAACATAATTGTGAATGAATAGTTGTTCATTCCAATAATCCTCATTGTATCTTGCAACACAGTACATATAGTACACTTTTATTTGTAGATGCATTTCTGTGTGTTTGTACCAAGACATAAAAAGGAATGTGAACACCTCCAAAGTGTCATGTTTTTGTACAGGTAAGGCAGTCCCCAAGACTGAGTTTAGATAAAATGGTTTATTGCTTTGGGGGTGTTGTTAAAGGGCCTGAGACATGGTCAAGGGGAGGTGTGAGATATTATGGGAGAAAGGAGAGGTATGTCACTTCCAGAAGTAAAATGGGGATAAAACACGGATACACCAAGAAAAACTATTGAGATGTGAGAAAGTTCCACCTCACTATTGTGTGTGGTGGGGAGGATTGTGTGTCGAGCCTCTTGTTGAGCACTTGTTGAAGTCACAAGAGGGCGAGTTGGCAGGTTCGTACATTTGAGGTAAGAATGGTGTTTATGTCAACGGCTCAAAAAAGGTCGTCAAACCAGGACTGCAGGACAGGTTGTCGCTTGCAAAACGGAATAATAATAAACGAGAAATAATGAAAGGGTGGTAAGTACATGTAGGGACATAACTTAAGGGTAAACAAAGAGCGACACCCCTACAGCTCTTGAGACAGTGATAGTATGAAACTCAGCCGATAACAGTAGCAGCGCTCCACCCAGCAGGAAGCCTCTCCAACCTGCTCAACCCAACCAACGGGTCGGGAGAAGGAAAAGAAGCCAGCACTTAAAAGAAAAAAAAGAAAAACTAACCAAGCCCTCAAGCTGTGCATTACCATGACAAAAGGCTTAGTAAAAAGTATGTCAAGTTGTGTGAGTCGAAATACAAAAAATCAAATAAAAGCAGAGATCTGCAATTCTACAAGGCACATTTGAATTCCAAATCAGCCCTGATTTATAGTCTGTGCAAAGATTTGGAATTAACAGTAGGAGCATTATGGAGCGGGCTAAGATACTAGCAAACTTTTTATCATGCAGTAGTTCTTTTTTCCCACTCAGATGACCGTTTCACTATTACATTGGTCCAATACTAATGAAAAAAATTATATTGGCACATTACTGGAATGTAAAAGTAAAAACAGAGAGACAAAATTAATTTGTTCAATTTTGAGGTTAGATGGACAAAGCGGAAAATCCAATCAGCCTAAATTAATCTTAAAAGTCACTTCTATTCACAATCATTAAGAATTTCTAAAGGAGATAGACATCTTCAGCAACAGTGATAATTAGTTCGAAGGGATTTTTTTACTCACTTCCTGGTCTTCCTTGACAAAACAATGTACAAAAAAGAGGAAAAACTAATTTGAATGAAAGCAAATGAACAAAGCCTTAATAATGTTGGACATAACTCCGAATGTAACAGCAAAGTAGAATATTGTTCAAATACATGGGTAACGTATGTGCCATGCTAATCCACCACAATCGTCTTTAAGAATTCCGTGCAAAATTTCCTGAACTATTGAAATATAAAGGCATGAATATAATTCATAAAAACAAAATGTATCACCTTCAACATTTGAAAATCTTTTTTAAAAGTCCGATAAGACTTTCCAGCCCATCTGCTAGTCTCCTTAAGCCTTTTTTTTATTGTCACATTTCAGATGTACCTGAAATGACACCAGCATCCATCGTGAACGCTGTTTTTAAAGAAAGCCGATTGTTTGCTGCCTTCAAAAGTATCTAGCACAGCTCAAACTTTGAATTGCCAGCTTTCCAGCACAGGGACAAAGCGCTGAAAGGCGGAGCAGGAGTGTCGCTGGCCTACTTGGCTGTTGCCGAGGCACTTGTCACAAAGTAAGCAGTTCTGTTCGTGCCTCCGAGGTTCAGCTCGGCCATTCGCTCAAAGGGTGGCATGCTCGATGCTTACAGGGCCCGTTTCCAAACTGGAGAGCATTTCCCAGTTGGTGGGGGCTGTGGAGCCTCCTTCTACCTCACAGAAACAGTATTTGAGTCATCTACTCTTACTTGGGTTCCTCACTTGTTACCCGGGTTTCTCTATCTATTTTCTTTTGGGAAGCCAAGTTTTAACAAGTCCAGGTAAATAATGTCCACACAGGTTGTTTTGTAGTCTGCACTGGGTTTTCTGTATCACAGAGAACAGGATTTAGTTGTTATTGCCTTGTTTCATAAACTCTTATTGGAAGCTAAGATAAGAGATTGAGATGATCTAAGAGAACTCACAGGGTCTGTTACACAGGAGTAGTAAATCTCAGTATTTGTAACTTTAAAAATCTAGTTTTTCTTAAACTTATCCATGGTTTTTCAAGACTAATAACATAGAAGGATTCCTGATTTAACAGTATTAGCCAGACCATAACTATGCAAGACTGACATTCGGAGGTCCTTGTAAAAGTTTATGGGGGTGAAATTGTTCTGCACATTCCGAATGTGTGCACCTAAAACACTGGCCAAAGGGCTCTGTAGGTCAGCCAGTGTTCCATCTATCTGGGAGTTATTGGAAATGGTCCAGTGTAAACATAAACAGGGTCAATACTTTCAGATGGCAAAAAGTGAAGAGATATTACTTAAACGTTGGTCCAGTAGGACAGTGGGTGACAATGAAGGCGTTTCCACGCTTCCACGCTGTGCTCTGCAAAAAATCAGACTTTCAACTTACAAAAATACATGTGGCCTATAGTTATACTGATGTACAACGATCCTCAAAGTCTGAATTAGAAAATATATATACCTAGTGTTTCTTGCCCGGGTGTACCTACTTTGTGTCCATCTTTTAAATGTATTTTTATATCGATATACATAGATAATACAAATATAGAGGGGTTTAATTGACAAGCCCATGTTTTTCTTTAAAAAAAACATAAAAATGCCGTTAAGTTGCAGTGATATTTCTGCACTTCAGAGTGGAGCTTGGATATAAAACATATATTTGCAAAGACGGCTGTTTGTGGTGTCAACTGTACCAACCATCCATCTGAACGCTCATTCTTAATGATCACAGGAAAAAAATGATCTCAGTAAAGATAACTTTATTGAGTTAACACATGTCACATCCATATACTTTTTAGAATTCAAAAGGCACAAACAGGTTCATTAGGTCACACGGTGATTGCGCTAATAGTCTGCCTTACAAGATACAAGTCTAAAACGAGACATATTACAAAAGTAAAGACTTCCATTATCGTGCATTAAATCCCTCATAAAGCATCCAGCTTTCTTAAATACATTCAGTTGGCAGGGAAATAATTTTGTTTAAGTGCCATGAAATTAGAAACGGTGGTAGCGCGACGGCAAACCACAGACTGGTAATAAAAAAATGTTTTACAGTGCATCTTCAGGGATTTAAAACCTCCACAGAACATGAAAATGGGACATGTCATAATAAATTTTGATCTTCTGGAGATAGTTTTACAGCAAAAGTAACTGAGCACTGCCTTAAAAATGTATCAAATCAGAAGCCAGACACTGCCAAGGGCCTCAGACATTGTAACAAATGGCAGTTTTTTTTTTGTTTTACTTTTTATAGTGTCCAAACTGATAATAAAGTAGATCTTATTAGCAGATAAATGCTGCTAATCTTCTTCAAGCTACAATAACAAAGGGCCAAAGTTTTTTTTAAAACTTTCAATATAAAAAAATAAATACTTCCATTTTTCAATTTGATGATGCTTTTAAATGCAACGTTGTGCAAAATTTTTGGTCTGCCTCAAAGCAGCCACGTTTTGTTAGAATCTTTCAAAGTGGTTTGGAGTGACAGTAGGTTAGGTTTTCTGAAGGTTTTTCAAAATTCTTCTTTAGACTCTCCCTTCCAGGCCATCCTTATGTATTATACTGTGTTCATGTGTTTGTTGAGCTGCTTAATACTGACCTGTGAGTCACTCGAGCACAAAAAAGCACCTCCTCAAAAGGGATGAACCATTGTTGTGTTCACACTTGACAACTAAAGGCACTTTGTTCCTGTCTAGAATATAAAAAATTAAAATTAAATAGAAAAATATGACAATAAAACAGTAGTACAACAGACGTAAAATTGTATTTTAGTATCAATAGCTTGATTCCCAAACAGCTATTGGTAGAAACCTCAGAGTGGTGTTCAGCAAGTCCTTAAAATAAAATCAGAGGTGAGTGGACAAGAGGACAATTATGTCTTCAAGGGAGTTAAAAAAAAATCCAGCATAGGACCTGAGAGATGCATCTGGACCTTTAGTTGTTCCATCGACTGTTCATTAGAGACTCATCGGGACAAAAAAGACATTTTAAGGAAACAGGGAGAAATGGCTGAGGTATGCTAAATGTCACAAAGTGGAAATAAAGTCATCGGCAACAGGTCTGATGGCGGGATGAGTCCTCCCACAGCCGGGACCACAGCGTTACCGCAGCAACGCTGGCCCATCGGATGGAGAGCAGAAGATAAAGGCAGCCAACAGCCAAAAAAGAGGTTTGAATCTTCTTCAAGAAGCTTAGAGAACCTGACTCGTTAAAATTTCGGGCTACGCTGCCGGTCCATTTTGAATTTTTTTTCCATTTCCTGACACCTGTCAGCCATAACATTATGACCACCTACTACAGGGCATGCTAATGTGTGGTCAAAGTGCATCTGGAGGAGTCCTGGAGTGTCTTTTACAAGGACCTACTGGGGGCCCTGTGGGTGTCGGGGGCTGGCTTCCAACAGATGCTGTCAGATTGGTGCCTGGGGAGAAACCAGGTCAGGGGAACACCTCGGGTTTTCTGACATGCTCTGTGTCCCTTCCTATGCTTAGAACAGTGGGTTATATCCGGAAGAGAACCATTCACTTTACTAGTCGGTGTTCATAATGTTATATCTGGACAGTGTATAGAGAAATTAGATTTTAAACAGTAAAACAGTGATATTGAAGCTCTAATGGTCTCAATAAATCTTAAAAAGTTAACAAAAAAACAGCACCGGCTTTACTAATACATAAAAATGCAGATACTGTGTGTTAATACAGAGAAGAACATTAACCTCTGCCGCAAAATGTTAGGCTACGGTAACAATAATGCTCCCCTTCCATCAAAGCAGTACCTTGAGGAAAAGGCGGAGAATGCCTTTACTTGGACTTGTTTTTAACATCGAGCATTCGTTTGACTTTGGTCAGCCAAAAGGCTGCTATTAGTGCACATCCAGCCACAGTGACCGCGTACAGGCCCAGGAAGAGGGGGGCCTCTTCGGCGCCGTGCAGCCGCGTGTACAGCCTCCTGCGGCCCACGTAGTCCAGGTGGGAGGCGTGGATCTGGCAGAAGGTGCAGCAGGACAGGAAAACGTGAAAGATCTGATGACTCTGCCCCAAGAAGTCGCAGCGACCGGGGAGGTGGCGCTCCAGCAGGGGGACGGTGAAGAAGAAGGCACAGCTCAGAAAGAAGCCCACCTGACCCAGGTGGTAAGGGGCGGCGGGGTCGCCGCCGGACCACAGGAAGAGCCGCTTTGCCACGGGGCTGCTGTCCCACATGTAGGCCAGGGCCGAGGGCACCACCTGGCACACCTTGCGCACCCAGGAAGGCAGGCTGTGATTGCAGTATTTGCCGTAGCAGCACCCCAGACAGGAGAGGAAGCTGAGGACGGCGGCCATGGGCATGAAGACCCCCCGCACGTGTCGGTGCATGCCCTCATCCACGGCGTAGTAGAAGTGCACCACGGCACTGCCGTACTGATACTGGGCCACGCCGACGTAGTCCAGGAAGAAGAAGCAGTAGTGGTACAGCTCAGACTTGCCCCCCAGCAGGTGGGCAGCCACGCTGAAGGCCGAGTACATCAGAGAGGACAGGACCAGGATCAGCAGGGGCCACGAGTGGGGGTCCCCCACAAAGTCCACCGTCTCGGACAGCTGGCGCAGCTTCACCAGAAAGGCCAGGAAGGCCAGCAGGTGAGTCCAGATGTTGATGGTCTCGTTGTGCCGCTGGAACATGGACAGGAAGTAGTAGCGCCAATTTTGGTCCAGCGGCCTGTAGCCCGTGCAAACGTAGCGCTCCCTGAAGTAGTACGGCACCTCCGTGTCCCTGACCGTGCCCGGCATGGAGGGCGCCGCCTCGGTCAGCATCCGGGGAACCTGCCGGATCTGCTGCAAGCTGATGAACACTCTGCCGATTCTCTCCAGTACGATGGTCGCCATGGCGCTCTGCGGCCAACCAGTGCCCACCGAGAAGATGCTGCAGAGAGGGTTTAAGGGTCAGCAACCAAAAACTAGACTGTGTGAATATGAGGGACATAGCACGAATGATGTTTTCCCACTGTTTTTTCTTTTGTTCTTTTTCTTTCTTTTTGTTCTTTTGGTTCTCTTGATTTTCGTAACATAAGCAATGTCTCTATGGCCAAAGAACTCTAGCTTGGTCTCATCTGATCAAAGAACATGCCTCCAGTATAGGGATGTCCCGATCCAGCGTTTTGCACTTCCGATCCGATACTGATCCCGGCCAATCAGGGCATGTATTTCAGTTTAAAGTTTTTTATCTACTTACTCAGACTCATTTTGAACAGGGATTTACTGTTATAACAACTTAATGGTTAGGACACAGACCACGACTCGACACCCAAAGTTTTTTAAAGGGTTTAATATTTTTTGACCCCGGCGTTTTTTTATTTTGGGGAAATAATCTAGTTTCTGTCAATTAATATAAATAAAACACCGTAGTTTTATTTTGGATGTTTACATTAATTGACTTTTATTTGCAAAAGCTGCATTAAAAGAAATCATTAATTCATTCAACAGCACTTTCTTAGTTGCTGGGGGGCTAATCATTTTTAACTCAATGATGATCGTGATGATGATCAATCATGATATGCAGCTCTGGCCCCTGGTCAAATGGTCGGCGATGCAAAAAAGTTGGAGGACTGTCCTCTCCATATCTTAGGTAGAAATGGTAGAGGATGGAGTGTATATAACAAATACCATTTGGATGTCCAATGGAATATCTCCATTTGCTGGAAGTCAAACCATCTAGAGAGCATTAAGGAAGTCTGTCTGACACCAGCTTGAGCTAAAATGACAACAGAGTGGAAATTCTGACTGAAAACTAAAAGAAACTGCTCACTCACATAAACAGAACTCTTCTGTGAAAAGACTCCCTCCCCCCTTAAAAAACAAACCCAATTTTTTTTGGGTCAGTTTACCATTCAAAGAGTCCCATCTCAAATATAACATATCAGAAAGTTACAATATAATATACAAATATATCTACATGCTGCTGTCCTAGATGCAGTAAAAAAAAAAAAAAGGTTTGCTCCTATAGCAACACATCACGGCCTGTTCCCACTCGTGTGCACGTGTTATGGCTCCACAAAGCAAATAGCTCACACATCATTTCATCTGAACCTCTTTCAGGAAGGAAAAGCAAGCTTTTCGATTAGGGAGGAGAAACACATTTACTACATGGAGGTGTAAACAGAAGGGTGTCGCAAATCACTCACGGTTCATTTGGTCTAGCCCTTAACAGGAATAACAACCTCTTTTGGATTACCTGGACACATTTCGTAACAGAAGGCAAAGTACAGGGGTACTTTCTCATGTTAAAGGAATAGACAGAAAGGAGAGGGGAGAAAAATAAAGAAAAAGAAAATCATTGTTCGGGGGTTCCGGGAACATGAACTGGGTTGTTACGTCTGGCATGAGTTCAAAACCCAGCCTGAGGCCCTCTGAACCACTGATCCTCTGTCTCTTTGCCCATTTTCATGGCAAACTTGGCAAAATTTCAAATTTTTCAGACGAAAGCCACTGTAGCTAGAAAGAAATCCTCGGCAACAACTATAGAAGAAAATATACATGTATATTACATTAAGAACAAACTAACATACAGACGCACACACACACATATATACATATATATATATATATATATATATATACATTTTTAATTTTATTTAACCCCATTAAAAGACTAGCAGAGACCGTCACAGGTGAGTTAACTTCTTTCCAGAGATATTGATATTGAATTCCGAATTCTTGGGAGATATATACTCATAAAAACTGCACTGTAAGTGGTTCTTCTTTTTTTTCTTTTTATTTAAATTAACAAATGATGTACTCCTCTGTCTCCAGCTCTGAACAGGGTCGGTTCAGAGTTCAAGCACATGAAAAAAAGTGGCGCCTCATCTAAGTCTCGTCCTAAAAACGGAAATTTTTAACTATCCTCGAGGCTGTCATTTAAAAGCAGTGTTATGACCTTTTTTTTTTTTTTTAAACCTTCCCGCTGTAATTTGTGAGCACATAAAAATATTTCCCTTTTCTTCTATCCACCCCTATCAAGAACATGCTACTACCTGCCTGACGCCTAGCATCTCAGACCTTTTAGCCTTAGCTTTCTTGCGCGAGCCGGTGGTAATTTCCACACAACTATACGTTGCGCTCGTGCCCAGCACTCTGATTAGATTGGTATGATGCCAAGGTAGATTATATAATAAAAAGTTCTGCCGCTGACAGTAACGTGGGCGTAAGTCGTCCACACAGCTTGTGTCCATCACCTGAAATGATTCGGCTCTATTTGTGGTTATTCACACACTTCTGGACAGGAAACGTCTTACCTTGTGGCGAATGTTCCCGCGGCTGAAACCACCTCTTGGTCCTCCGTCTCGTGCCGACGGAATACATTCAACAGATTGAATTGTAGTTCAGAACAGTTTGTCAGCGTCAAGCTGATTGCAAAACAGGAAGTGCTGTGACCTCACCACCAAAATAAAAATACTCTCTTTTTTTTCTTCTTTTCTTTTTACTTTGTATCTTTCGGTCTGTTACAACTGTGAATACAACCCGAGGCATCATTACATCAAACACAATCAGGAGGACAACCATTAAACCAAATTTATTTTAACGCGGGATGCAATGACACATGCACACAACTTAGAAAACTAATGGAGATGACATTTAATTTGCATTGTAATTTAAATTTGAATCCTGCATGATTTGTAATAAAGCCATAGACGTTTAGCAACAAATTGAAGAACAAAGTAAATCAGATAAGATATTTGTTAAGGGATCTATTCTCTGAACCATTTGTTCATAATTCAGTTTTCAGAGTGTCTGTTTTGACTAGACTTTTGTTTGTGACACTGGTTATGCTAACATAAAGTTTCTTGAGCAGAACTTGATTGACCAGTGGTTGACAAGACCGTTGAAATTGAGTCAGGTGTGTCGGAGCAGGGAAACATTTAAAACAATGTCAGCACTGGGTCTAAAGAATACTACCTTAATTTTCACCAAACGTCACAAACCCTGTGAGTGGACAGGGGACATCTCTTACAGAATTGCAAACCTTTGAACGTGAGAAAAATTTCCCCAAGGGTTTTCAGTGGATTCACCAACAAAACTTTTTTTTCTCCTTTTATGAATCAATTAATCTGACTTTTGAATGAGTTTATCAATCCTTATGCTAGGATAGCAACACTGGAATAAAATATATCATAATAATTACAAAAGAAGAAAATTTAGGAGATTTAAATGAACTCTAACCAGAAAAATGCTGGACTGTAAACCATTGATCATATTACAGCATTTTGTTTTGAAAGATTAAAACGGAAATAGTCTTGTACTGTTTTCTAGCATCTTTTTTTTGTGGCGGAGAAGCAAAAAAGGGGAAGGTGGTTAGAAAATACAGTACTTGAAGTACAGGGTGGGAAAAATCTTCCATGTGAGGGCCTCTCACGTTGTTTCTTCACCGTCTAAAAACGTGCTCACAACTTTTTTCAGCCGAGCAACACTGCTTTCAAAGTTACCATGAGCTTGAATCGAGTTTAGACTACATTTAAAACCTAGTTACATAGCAAAGAAAAATAAAATAACAAACAACTAAACCCTATCACAATGGTTCTTTTCTATATGTTAAAGTTTGAATAGATGTAAGTGGATATCAACCCTTGAAAATCACTCCACCCTTGAAAGTGAGATGAAGGTGCTCGGAGTGTGTGGGTGTGCGATGCTGGAACATTCTTGCTCAATGACTGCACAGTTTTCTCTACGTTGTTTGGACACAGATCATGTACATCACACAGGCAGTAACAGCAGCACCCATGACCACACGGTACACCGCGTCCGTGGGCCACGTGCTCACCAGAATACCTGTTAGCTCTCAGAAAACGATTCCAAATTAAATTAGCCCCTTGCTGTAACCTCTGTTTGTTATCATACCCAGATTCCATTTAAAGTGCTCCCCAGTAGCTTGGATTCAAGCCAACACAGGACAGCATGTTGTGTAATTTATTTTGCCTGAGGCACCAATCAGAACGGAATCTCCTCAAAACTAAATATCAAGCATGCCTACATATTTCCTTAAATCTTTGGAGTGTGGCATTGCACTACCTCTAAGGAATTTTCAACTTACAAGATCTAAACAATATCAAAACTAAGTGAGGAATATGTAAAACTATGTGTGTGTCTTAACTTTTAAAGTTCCTTTAAGTCTGGACCAAACAGAGAGGACATAACCGTCTTATCAACTTTTTAAAAAGAGATTTTAAGTTATGATAAGCTAGGTTAGCTTTACTGTTGGCAATTTGTCAAAGAATAACTTTGCAAATGTAGAATTTGTTTGTATTTGCAGTCCACTATCTGCGATTGTTTACATAATTGCATCCCTGAGGCGACCGCATATGTAAAATATCTTGATACTAACGTCACATTTCCCGCGTACTGGAGTGGAAACGGCGGTTAAGAAGCTGTGCTAGCTGCGTGCATTCATCTCTACCACGCTACAGGACTGTTTAACGATGATAATATCTAAAAAGTGAGTCACATACTCAGTGACCAAATAACTGCGCTATTTGTTTTGAAATGGGCCAGTAAATTAAATTAATTTAATAGCTAAATCTGTACTAATCTTTCATTGCAACATCTATCTACCTGCCATGTTAAAGTAAAACTGTCAGCAGTCTTTAGTCTTTAGATCGTTACATCATCTGGTAAGGAAGGGTGTCTTCTGTGTTACATTCAACTGTTATATTGCACTGTTTCTCTTCCTGTTTTTGAATAATATGGAGGCCTCTGTTAATCTTTATTGCATACATACACACTCTTCCGGTTGCAAACCCCCTTGTACTATTGCATGCTGCTTTGCGCAACTCCTTTTTTTTCTTTGTGCATCACCCTCAGCAATTCTTAATACTTTCACTATTACACATGCTCAGTCACATGGATTCATTCATTCATTTTAAATAAGATGTGGTGATACTTTTGTAGAATTAAACTAACAAAGTTGTAACTTGCACTAAGCAAGCAAGGAGGGAAGTAAGTAAGTAAGTAAGTAAGCAAGTATGTAAGTAAGTTAGTAAGGAAGTAAGGAAGGTAGTAAGTAAGTAAGGAAGGAAGAAAGGAAGGAAGGAAGATGGAAAATGTATGCAATGATGCCCTCTTGTCAGTTCCTTAAACGTGCCAAAAAGCAACTTCAAAATAGGTATAAAATGCATATAAAGGGCATTTCCAAAAAACACATGGACATGAAAACTCAAAATACTACGTATCACTAAATTTTTACACTACTCTCACATATGAAACTGAGAACGAGCTGTATTTGATTGTTGGAAGAAGCTAGAGAATTTAGTTGGCACCAAAGCCTCAGAAACAGTTATGATGGGAGATGCTAAAGTAGCTATTTCTATGTTTAAGTCCTACGTTGGCCATTCCAAATTGACCTTAAGAGTGAGTGTGAGTGTGAGTGTGCGTGGTTGTCCATCTTTGTGTGTCTTTGTGTGGCCCTGCGATGGACTGAGGACCGTCCAGGGTCTACCCTGCCTCTCCCCATTGAATACTGGGATAGGCCCCACTACCCCTGTGACCCCAATAGGAAATAAACTGTTCAGAAAATGGATGAATAGATGGATGGTGTTCAACTTGTTCCACTTCATTCACCATCAGGATATTCTCGTTTGTGTACATTAAACTTCAACCGAGTTTCTATGCACTCTAATGTTCCGTTTATGTTGTGACTCTTCAATACATCCACACAGGGGCAGTGTTTCTACTTCCAAAAGTGTTGGTCAGAGCAGGATGTGATATACAGTATATGAAAAGATCAAATGCTGTTGTAAGCTTAACACCTTGCAAATTAGATTTTGTAATAATTTAAACCTAAGGAAATGTATATTCCTAACCCTCCTGCAGTAGTTCTTTATCTGGTTTGTTGAATATATTTGTGAATGCACTTTTTAGCTCGCCATTCAATTTTTGGATTTATCACTGGTCATTAAAACTATACTATATGGATATGTACTTCTGTCGTCCTTAGACCTAGACTTTTACACAGCGTTGATTAAATTTGATCAATACCTCCTACCCCGTCTTACGATTACGATAGACATTTCTTTTAAAAAGCACAAATACGTATGACCAAAATTGGCTTCTGTGAGATATACCTGAGAGGGGGAGGATTTCAGACTGGGTCTCATGGGAAATTGTCCTTGTGGCAGAGCCATAACTCACTAGTACAGGCATATCGTGTGATTGTCTTAGGAACAAGTATATCACCCTGGAAGAGTTGGTTGTAGTGGCGAGGGAGATGGAGGTCTGGTAATCTCTGCTTGGACTGGTTTGCTTGTTCCCAAGTCTGGCATAAGTAGCAGAAAATCAAAGGATGGATGAATGACTGCTAAGACACATAGCCACTCAGCATTTCAGAATTGGTTGCACAAGCTTGTCTCCTTTGCCAGAAATCAATGAATCTTAGAAATTGCTAAATTAGGTCACACAGGTTCAAAACAAGGGGTTTCTTAGTCTCAGGTTGTAAACTTTTTTGCGCTGTGGAATCAAGTTACTAAATCATTTTTTACATGTGCACCTCAAGGTTTTCTATCTATGGGATCTGCTTCTGAGACCCAATTTGTCTGCTTTTGCAGAATCTGTCTGTGCGAGGAGTTTACCGATCCTTCCCCCTTTTTGGAGCTCAGAAAACGTCTGATTCATTACGTGTGAACAAAGATAGGTATCCTCAGTGGTGTGCCATTATCTGCTTCCAGATTGTGGCAGCCATGGTTTAAAATGTAGAGCTGGCGTGTAATAATTGGGTCCATCTCCAAATTCCCTCATGCATGTGTCAAAACACACCTCAGAAATATGCAGAACCCAGTAATTCCTCCACACATACGGCGAACTGAGCAAAAGGAATTTCAAAGCATATATAATTGAGCATTTATTCCTCTTGTAGCCTGCATCTCACATCTTTTACTATGTAATCAAAACATCATGTCCTGTGTCCTGCTCGCCCAAAAGTGCCTATTTAGTTTTCTGTTATCAAGTGGACCTGATTGCGCTCTGACTTTCACTAATAAAAGCAGAAGCATTTACGTGGATGGAGACATTGAGATGTATAAAAATGTGTTCATATGTTCTTTTATTTCTCCAAGACTACAGGGCACAATCACATGGAACTGGGGGACAGAAAGAAAATGGTAATATCTAATTCAGAAAACAGAAAACCATTACACTAAAGCTGTGGAATGTTTCAGTTTATGATCCGAGACAACCATTATTGAAAACTTCCTATAAGACATACAAAAAAATTCACTTTTACAGCTTTGTGTTTTGCTGAATGACTGTAAATTTCCAAAAAGATGAGATTAACGGAGCTCCATCCTGTTTTTCATGGCTAATCAGTGTCAACATTTCAGCAGTTATCTAAATCAGTGGATTAGTTCATAAAAGCAAGTGACTGTTCATTTGCGTATCAACCACTTTTGTTAGTATTTTAATTTAGTAAAGCATCATCACTCAGAGAAAATGCCCTAATTCTTTGATATGATTCTTTTATTGTTTTTTTGTGTCTTCAACCAGAACTAAAAAAAGACTGAAATAATACAACATTTGTCTTCCTTAAAATGTTAAAAATACTTTCCAATAAATCATCTCTCCAAATACGATTTGAAAAGAGTGGGACTAGACGCTCATTTCATTTTGTGACTGTGCAACAACTGCCAAGGGAACTAAACTGCAGCCTCTAAGACGTTTGACATTTTACTTTTCAAACCTTTTGACTGAAAAGTATAACATGCCACCAAGTTATAGACCCCAAAGCAACACATCTTCTGGCCTAATTGGGTTGGATGGCTCAGCTAGATATCGAGGTGGCATTTTGCCGGAGAACTCCCTCAGCTCTCAGTACGCCTTCGTTTATCAACGTCTGCCAGCTTTTGCTGAGTAGTTTGTTTTTGCCCTTCGCACACTTTATCACCTGTCACATCTAATAGTACCCAGTGTGGAGTACACAGGGCCACGGCAGATCTCTTGGGTTCATCTCTGTTTCCTTTTTCACCTTTACCGCAGATAACTCCGTCAGTAGCTGGAGCCCCTGACACCACTGGAGAGTTCCAGCTGTGTGCTGGCATGATAACGAATGGGGGCCTTTTTTAGGTAACCAGGTAAAAGTTCTATTAAAATACCAGCTAATAGGTTTTTTAGTTTATTATGACCTCCCTTGAACTATTTGCCTATGGTATTTATATGCTGATATGAGAACATGCCTGCTGATAGACCATAAAACAACTGTTTTTGTAAAATTTCATTTAGATTCTTTATTACTCAATCACGTGCAATTTCAATTAGTCATCTTTGTTAAAGGTTCACTTGTCAATCAATACAAATTGTAAAGTTTGGAGAATTAAAAAAACCAAACATGTCTATGTTTTCATCAACTGAAAATAATTTATTTGTAAGATTTTGATAATATCCGAGGGATTACATTTTTACTTAATGTAAGAATGTATTTATTTGTCTGAGTCTTAGATCCCGGAAGCTTCTGAAGCAGTATCAAGTTAATTTCAAAAGGCAGGAAATCGTTTCGTTTCCACTTCAAATGAAAACTTATTTTTAAATCACATTAATATTTTATTGCTAAATCCAGGCTTAATTAAATTACAATGTTATTTTTCATTTTGAAGCATATTTAAAATGTTGAGCCAAAGTATCTGCTACAATCAACCGTCATGTTTACCACCGACCCTCAAAATAGACACGCTTCTAACTTTTATTTTGAACTTCTAAAATGCAACGTTTCCGTTTTGTTGCTCCGGTTGTTCGGGAACCTTTATGCAGCCATAAATGGGCCAAATTAAGTTCACGCTCCACAGCTGGTGATGGCGGATGTTGTTGAAAAAGACACCATGAAGAATTACCATATAGCTTCCGAGAAAATTAACCCGGAGACCAGTCGCTACCCTTACTGTGTAGTCTGGACACCCATCCCCGTGTTATCGTGAGTTATGGCTGCCGGTGTTAAATTCGGCTCTCATTAAAGCTCGGGACATGAAGCAAAGTGACAGCTTCACTAGCATAGCTAGCTAGCGCACGTTCACCCCATCCTGTTGCTGGTCCTTACGTTGAAATAATGTGTGTAATAGAGCTACGGCTACGCTCTTTATCACGAGTTCGAAGTCGTAGACGTAGACTTTTCTCATATGAGAAAAAGTCCAACCGGAAATATGCTGCATAAATAAAGAGAAAATTAGAAAGAAATTGTAATTGAAGTAAACAAAATGGCAAGGAAAGGATCAAACAGGTTCAAACATACGCAAAGTTGTGACGCACAAAGTCGTGAAGGCATTTGAAGCATAGGAAATGACATACGAGTTGTGTTGTATATTTTAGTAAAAGCTCAACTTAGGTGTAATATTGATGTTTTTTCACCTTAATGTAGACAAACAACTATAGTTGTAATACATTCTGCTTTGTGTCACCCTCAACATCTAACTCTAACCTGCCACACAAGGGAGTCCTAACACAATGACATGAATAATAAAGAGCTATCCTCCTAAAAAGTCAAGAAAGATTTAATTAACATGAAAAGCTTTCAGTCTGACTACATGAATCCAATTAGTAAATTAAATCAAGTGTTTTTCTGTCGTCTTTTCTTTTATTAGGGATAGATTGAAGCGACTTGACTACAATAGGCATAAAGAAAACACTTTGTGTAGCCGTGCATCCACCCTGGCTGGCATTATCTGCCCTTTGCTGATATGCAGTCCACAAATATCGATCTCCAGAGTCAAAGAAAAGAAATAGGAAGTGTGTTTGCTCCTCCTGTTTCTTATTCAGATGGCTGTTTCCATTCATTGGCCACATGGGAATCTGCACTTCCAGCGGAGTCATCCGGGACTTTGCCGGGCCTTACTTTGTCTCGGTGAGTAATGGCTGTGTGGCTGTCAGGGCTTACCCAAGGCGATGTGGCGAAAATACCGTTATCTGTATGTGGAAGCACAGCACAATGAACGTATTCTGCCCAGCATCCCTTCTTTTCTTTTTTTTGGTTTGACATAAATGTTACCTTGCATAATTTTTCTGGTTTTAAAACATGCAGCTCATGACCCAACTTTGTGCCAGCTCGTTTACTCCAACATCATGCAACAATTAGGATATTTCCGTTTAATCCAGATGTTTTTACAGAGGTGCTTTATGTTATTTTGCTGTGTTGTTGACTGCAAAATGACTGTATCTCGTTTAACTCTAACCCAGCCCCTTCCCACCCCCAAGTGCTCTTTCTGTTCTTCCTTCTGTCTCTTCACAGTTACCTCTAACAGAGTCTGACTAATGATTTTCTTCTTCTTGTAGCCTATTGTCAGGTTGATGCTAACTGTAATGTATCTCCATTTGAAGTTGCTTTAGATAAAAACATCTGCTAAATGTATAAATATAAGAAACTTAACATTGTGGTCCACTCAAATCATTCTGAATAACAGTTCCTGTTTGTGCATGTGCTTGTTATTGCCAGGCCTGGGTTAAGGTAGAATCTGTTATTTATTTGTTATTTGCTTGCACTGTAAACATACGCAGCCATTTATTAATAGCCCGAAAGGGACAGTGAATGCTAGTTGCGGTAACAGTGAAGACAGAGCATAAAACATAAAAAAGAAGCTAATCTGAGTGGATATGGGCGAAGGACACATTCTGGTGGAAGTAGCTGTGGAGGCTGTTGTGGTCCCAGCCAAAGCCCCAGCGCTTTACCAAGGAGAGGCATTCTATTCGTACCCGCTCTACCCTTAGTCTCAGACCTCAGTGGAAATGCGGCTCACCCAGGGATGAAATAATCTTTGAAAAAGTACTGGAATGCTTTATGGATGAGGGAGCTTTATGTTACAATTTTTCCTTGAAGATGAAAGATGGGAACAAAAAGGTGTTTTTCAAAAAGCAAAAAAAAAGAAAGAAAGAAATTTTCCTGCCATTCTGCAGAAGAGAATCAATGTGTGAGGATCAAACTGGACAACAAATGGACCATTGTGTTGAAAATTTATGAGACGAACTGATGTAATTGTTCCATTAAACATCAAAAACAGGAAGTAAACGAGGCTGTTGCTGGGGACTTTGGTTCCTTTCAATCATAAGCAAGATGGTCCCCTATATTCAGGGCCACAGTATAGTAATGATTAATGAACAACAAAGAAAGATTTTAACAAGCATTCTCATTGTGTGTTTGCTTTTTAGGAAGACAACATGGCTTTTGGAAGACCTACAAAGTAAGAAAAATGGTGCTTGATTAATGTAATTTGGAAGAGAAACACTGACTGCAAATCTGTCTCTGGGCATTTCTCCAATACAACAGCACAATTACTTTTTTCCCCCCTTTCTTTTCCTTTCTTAAATACCGGCAGGTACTGGATGCTTGATGTCAGCAAAGTTTATGCCAGTGGCTCCAATGCCTGGGACACAGCAGTGCACGATGCCTCAGAGGAGTACAAGCACAGGATGGTAACGGCATGTCTTCTCAACTTGGCTTTTAATCATTTAATAGAAGAGGAAACAGTTGTCATTTTTAGTAACTCTTCTCTTTTCATTCCTCCCAGCACAACCTGTGCTGTGACAACTGTCACTCTCATGTCGCCATGGCTCTGAATCTGATGCGCTACGAAAACAGCAGCTCGTGGAACATGGTCAACCTCTGCCTCCTCGCACTCATTCACGGAAAACACGTCAGGTAAGATTTAAGGCAGCAACAGAAGTCTTTCAGCTGGAGATGTAAAGAAAAGACACGGCAAAGCTGATTGCCTGTGTGATTTCAAACGCAAAGTGCTGCATATTAAAAATATAATACACAGTATGAGAAGGGAAAGACGAGGCTCATTCAGACGACGTCAAGATTAAAGAGTCTATTCAGAAAAACCTGTAAAAGAGACAAAGAGAAACATTTTTGAAATCCTGTTAGCCAAACACATCTGAGGATGTTTAAGTTAATCAAATAAGTATCTTAAATAAGCAAGTAAAGGCACCTGGACCTCTTCTTCTGGTTCAGAAAGACATTTCTCCCCTCATCCAAAAGGCTGTTTTAGCTCTGACTCAGTCTGACTCTGGTGTAACTGTAATGTCCTAGTTAATGCTTATCAGCCGGAAACTTCCCACCAGCCAGATAAAAGCAAAGAAGCTGTTCCGATGCCAGGTTAAATGACCCAAATGAAGAGCCTCCTGGCCCTCAACATGCCACGCCTCCGTAACAGTTCATAAAGAAACGCTAAATGCCGAGCAAACAGTTGCTGTGAGAAGCATGTCAGAAGGGGAGCTGAAAACACGACTTTGTAGATGTTTAAGCTCAGTCATTGAACAGTCATTAAAGCGCTTTTGGGGGCTGAATCATAAGACAGAAAGAGCAGAAACAGCATAATCTTCTTGTTAGTCAGACAAGAAACCGCTGCACCATTTGAGAGTCCTACTTTTCTCTAAACATGCAACAGCAGGAGCAATTGAAAAGTCTTCATATACTATCAGTCAGAGAGGCTTCAGCTTAAATAATGAGTGTCTCTTTTCCCTCATTCTGGCTTATCTGCTGCAAAATAACATCTGCAGATGAGACCAAAGACGAGGAGAGTTTCGACAGCGCTGTCAGGTCTGTGATAATGCAGGCTGCTGGATTCCTCTGAACGGCTAATCACATGTCAGACTCCCCCCGTGCCGTGGCGCTCGTCTGTTAACGAGGCTGCTGTTGTTCGACTTTGGCTGTGACAGGCACACGCTGCCAGGTTCCACCCAGGCAGCTCTCTGTCAAAAAATCATTGCGCGGTTAAATTTACACCTGACTCCGGCAGTTCGGTATCTGCTAATTTACTGGAAAGCAGTACATGTGCCAACTGGGTTTTTACACTGTGTTGCCGCCTGACTCTTTCAGTTTCATGGTGAAAACGCAGCAGAATTGCTTTCAAAGTTGTCTTTCCGTTGGTTTCGGGCAGACTTGGAGCAGCTCCAGGTGAGCTCAGAAAGGCTGAAAACAGCTCGGTAAAGCTGAGCGATTTCCCATCTGAAATGAACACGGTTTTCATGGCTCCTTCCTTGGTCTAAAAATATCAGAATGTTATCTAAAAACTCAGTGCAGCACAAGCCCCGTGAAGTCCAGCTGCTCCATCCGTAGCCAGTGGAAGAAGTAGGGCTAAAACCTGTAAATGAGGGATCCCAGGGGCTCAGGCATGATTTCACAGGTTTAGCTGAACCTGTTGTCTCAGGACACCGGGAAGAGAATGCCCTGATTCTTGAGGGGAGAGTATATAGGACATCCCTCCATTATGCCTTTTTAAATATTGGTCTTATAGGAAAGGGTTAAACATCCAATGGATCCCCAGTCAGTCTTTGGACCCAGATGGGAGCAACAGTTGTGTACAATCTAACATTTCTCAGCAAATGAAGTCATCTCAAATTCACACAGAAGTAAAAATACTAACAAAAAAACAGATTAAACAAATTTGAAAAAAGTTTTCCTTTTGCCAGACAACAGTTTTAGCGAGTTTTACACAGAGTGGAACAGAATAAATAAGTGTTGAAACACCTTTCTGCCTGTTTTGTAACTTCACCTAATTCAGTTTTGGTCGTGGTTCCAGACTGAATGCTCATCATTACCGTTACCACGGTTACACCAGACACTCATTGAGGACTGGATGTTATGAGCCTCGTCAGTGGCAGGGCTTGTATATCGGTATTAGATCTGTCCCTCTGTTGGTGCCCCCCCTTCGTCTCACCGTGCCCTCTCCTCTGTCCGTGTTCTGGGTCTAATCCAGCTGCGCGGGCTTCCTGAAGACCTGGCTGCCTTTCCTGATGCTGATGGGCCTCATCCTGACCGTGGCCCTGGCCGTCAACCTCCGATGACCCGCTGAGGCGGGACGCGGACACCGTGTGAGCCCTCTTGGTGTCGGGGGATGTGGCGCCATCCTTCAGGAGCGAGTGCTGGGGGGGAACGGGCATCACATGGTGTGGAACTAGAAGAACAGCGGAGATGAAGACGGCTTGCCTCTGAAACAGGGTTGTGTTGGCTCACTGACATTACCGCAGTGTTGAAGCTGCCACACCTCAGTGATGGGATTCATTTCTATTCATCTGTTTGGATACTGAACACTCATAAACGCGTCTGAAGGAAGAGAGACTACTGTGAAAGCAGGTTGTGTAGCGTTTCTAACAACTGCGTAGCTCAGAAACACACTCAGCTTCAAGTTCCATGTTTCCCTCAGTAGTGGATAAGGGGACGCTCCCCTGATTCAGTGCTTCCATACTTTTACTCTGAGGCCAAATGTTCTCCAGAGTTTACTGGATCTCATGCTAACTCTAACCTCGCTCTTCCACTGCAGTTCACACCCGAACGCACAGGAACTGATTGTATTTTTGTGAAATTTCTTACTTGTACTGAAATCGCACCGCACAGACGCCAGACAGGCAGCGCCTCCCACCAGAGATATTTTCTTACGACGAGTCGCACGCGCTCACCTCACGGCCCCGCCCACACGTGCACTCATCAGGGCAGCGGCCGCAGCAGCCTCAGAGAGTCAGGCCGGTGTGTTTCCCCCCCGACGGGGCCCTGCCTTCACCTGCATTCCCGACCGCTCCTGTGTGCTGCACTTCCCCTTTTTTTCTGGTTGTTATGAGTCCTTTTAAAAACAACGTTTTAAGTCTGCGTGATGGTTGGCACTCCAAATCCGTTGCTATGGCGGTCACAGGCGCACTCAAATCCCCTCATTGTTGGCAAACGGACGGGGGGGGGGGCGGCTTTCCCTTTGTCCGCTGTGCTGCCAGAAGCAGCAGGTAGCCAGGATCCTCAGGTTTTTCAAGCTCACCCCCCCCTGCTTAATATCCCCCCCCCGTCCCACCCCTTCCAAGGTCAGTGTGAGAGGACATCTCCACGGCTGCGCCACATGCCGAGCCGCGTCCCACAAAAATATCCCACTGAAGCAAGAGCAGAGGCGTGTTTGGTTTTAAATGTGGGGCTAACATGGACGCTCCAACAGACTCTGCGTGGCCTGTTTTTGTGTGTGCATTTCACCCTTTGTTGCCTGTAAATGTGTGACCACAGGTCACAGGCTTTCAGGTGCTTTTCATGCAGTACGATTGTAACTTTGCGGTTCAATAGATTCCTACGCATCACTTAAGTACAAACTGTAGCTTTTCGTTCACTTTTTCATATCAGGTCTGTTCAGCCGCCTCGTGCCTGTAGTGGTAGAAATGTACACAGTGAGGCGGGGGGCGGGGGACGGGGGGGGCATGCTTCTTGCATGCTGGCCTGCGTCAGTCGCATGCGAGAAACTGTCCCCAGAGTTTTTCATGGCCAGCTCACAGCTGTGGCTTCTTAATAAATAATCAGCTGCCTTTTATCACAGCAAACTGCCTGATGATTGATTTCATTACTTATCATTTCCCTTTTATTTCTTCCTCTTTGAAATGGTATGTGATCCTTAGTAAGATGAAATGATGTATTAGCCCTAAGCCTGTTTAAGTGAATCTGTTTCACAAGTGGGACAACCACGGCTGCTGTTTATGCTAATTTCAGATGCAGGGTCATTTCTCAGAGCATTTAAAACGGGGAAGGCCCAGAAATGGAGGCCTTCCTCACCATTCGATTTGGGTTTAAGGCTCCAAGTCTGGAAGCCCAGGTTTACTAAAAGGTGCGTGGGAAAAACGTTTGGAAATCTCATTACTTTATCTGTCAGTTGTGCTTTATGCCAGAAGCAGAATAGTTTTTGAATGTAACTGCTCTGAGCGGAGCGGCTCAGCCATTCCATCTAAAGTAACAAATGACTCACCCTCCTGGGATCATTGCCTCTGTTAAATATAGACCTTTATTAAGTGTGTATAGTATAGTAGGAGAGTTAGAAATAGTGAAAACAAACGGTACGCTAATTCTTTACAGCATGAATGCATTGAGTGGAGATGATTTAAAAGGTTTTAGATGCTGCCTGCTGTGGTGCCTTGTTGTATCCAGGAGCTAGCTCCAGGAATGTGGGGACCTGTGGTCCCGGCCAATTCAAAAGACCATTGGGTTGCCATCATCAGTGCCAGTATCCACATATACTTATATCAGTCTGGATATTCAAAACTCTGTCCTCTAATCCTTCAGATTTTTCTATGCCGTGGCTCACACTGCTACAGGGGAACTTTTAAGAATCCTGTCTGAGCTGTGAATGTGTCCATGACTTACTGCTATAATACTAATAAAGATGTCTATTATTGTAGAAGTGGTGTCGACCTTCTTTTTCCTCTCCTGGATTTTTATCACTGAATTATGACTGTAGTGTTAAAGCTGTCAGAAGGAGGAATGAAGGCTCTCATCCCCCTCCAAGCTTCTATAAATACAGGCAGAGGAGATTCCTGTAATCATCATTAGAAGCTGTCAGAATACACACCGAGGAAGTGAAAGCCATTGTAGCTTTGATACGCTTGTGTTAAATGGCTTAAAGTCTCACTTTGTCTATTATCCTGCAGAGCATCATGGCATTCTAGAGAGGGGAGGAAAAGGGGGGGGGGGGATCAAAGGCTCTGGCACCCCTCCCCCGTATTTACCATACCACCTGCGTGGTTGGGAATGCCAGAAGTCTCTCTGAAAAACGCCCCCAAAAGGAAAAGTTGTGATTATTTTTTTGTTATTTTACTTAATTTTAAGGGATAAAAAAGTGGCTAAATCTAGGATCAGGTGAGATGAATATTCGCTACAAACCTAGGTGTAATGATATGGGGAATAGGAGCAGACATCAACACTTTCTCCTGCTCATCCATCCCTCCTGCCGGGGAGAGAGAGAGATAAAGAGAAACAGAGAAAGAGAGAGAGCTCCTCTGGATCCGGACGGGGAGGAGAGAAGCTCCTCCCCGCCGATCATCGGACAAGTCGATGGTCCTTTTTGACTTCATTGTTAAGGGGGGTGAGAAGCGACGCCCCGCTTTGCCTAAGCAAAGGGATCAAACAGAACGACCCCCAGTCCTGTTTCTGATGGAAACCCGGGCCAGCCCCCCCGCCACACTTTCCGCGGGGCTGCAGAGTTGAGGGCGCATTCCCGGCCGGGGCGACGCGCGCCCGGGATGTTTCTGTGGAGCTGATCGTTTCCATTCTCCTATATTCCACCTCTCTCTGTGTGTGTATGTTTTTTTTCCCCCGCTTTACTTTTTGTTTCAGTTTTTCCTCTCTTCGTTGCGACATGCGGGATTTTACGCGCGGAGTGGTTCTCTGCGCGCTCCTCGGCTCCGTTTACGCGTCGTGCCCGCCGCGCTGCGAGTGCTCGGAGGCGGCGCACACCGTGAAGTGCGTGTCCAAAGACCTGCGGAGTGTCCCCGCCGGCATTCCCGCGTACACCCGGAATCTGTTCATCACCGGGAATCAGATCAGACGGATCGGGCCGGAGTCTTTCAAAGGCCTGGACAATGTGACCAACTTGTCTCTGAGCAATAACAGGTAAGCACCCTTCCGGGGACTCCCGTGGCTTTTTGTCATCACTGTCAAGCAAAGTAGGGTTGAAATGAGGAATCCACAACGAATAATTGACACATTTGCTATTTTACCTTATAGTCTTATAGTATAGTCTATAGTTTTTTTTAATGTCATCTTCATAAAGATGTTCGGTTATACCTTTTTTTTTTATTTAAAGTCGCGCTTCTGTCGTGTTTGGAACCCTTTTTGCCTCAGTGGTCTCTTGTTTTCCAGTCATTTTAAAGTGCAGTTTGTATCTCCTGAATTTCTTCAAACCCAGAATTTCCGAGGTGGAATCCCACGCCTTCTCTGGTCTGCTCCGTCTTCGCTCTCTGGACCTGAGCAACAACCAGCTGGCCGTCATCCACCCCGAAGCCTTCACCGTCCTCAACCAGTCTCTGCGCGAGCTCAACCTGAGCCGGGCCCTCTACAACCACTCCTCCGTGATGGACCTGGCCTCCTCCCTCCGCTGGAGCTCCCTGGGGAACCTGCGGGTCCTGGACCTGTCGCACAACAGCCTCATCTACCTGCCGTCCCGCATCTTCTCCCACCTGAGCGGCCTGCGGCGGCTCCAGCTCGCCAACAACTCCCTGGTGGCCCTCCACAACGCCTCCCTCTCCGGCCTGGAGCTCCTGGAGGAACTCGACCTCACGCTCAACGCCCTCAAGACATTCCCGGAGGAGGGCCTGCGAGAGCTGGACTCCGTACCCAGAGCCTCCCTCCTGCTCGGGGAGAACCCGTTCACGTGCACGTGCGGGATCGAACCCTTCGCCCTGTGGCTCAACGCGTCGCAGGCCCGCGTGGAAGACGCCGACGGCCTCTTGTGCGACTTCCCGGCCAGCATGAGGAACACCTCGGTGCTGGCGGCGGGCGCGTTGACCCTGGGCTGCCACCAAAGGGACGCGGGGGCGGACCTGGCCCTGCAGACCTCCTACGTCTTCCTGGGCATCGTGCTGGGCTTCATCGGCCTCATCTTTCTCTTCGTGCTGTATCTCAACCGCAAGGGCATCAAGAAGCGCGTCTACGACCTGCGCGACGCCTGCAGGGAGGTGTGGGAGGGCTACCACTACCGCATCGAGATCGACTCCGACCCCCGGTTATCCCAGGTCACCACCAGCGCCGACGTGTGAGCTGCTGCCCACAGCCCGAGGATTTTCTTACCACACTGACTTTGTTTTCTAATGCGTTTATTAGGAGCAGAATGTAAAAAAAAAAACTAAAAATATGTACAGATTTATCTGTAAATACATGCATACAGTAGTGGTAGCATACGTTGTTGGCAGAAATCTGCTTTTCCACTCTTTCTGAACACACAAAGAGCAGAAATAAGTGCCTATGGTCAGCTCGGCGTTTCCGAATCAGTACAGCGATGAGAGTCAAACCCCCGCAGTATTCTCTCTGATCAAAGGGTTTTATTATCAGCTTGTTAAGAGAAAAGCAGCACAGAACTGCAATAAAATTCTTACACTATGGAAACAAACCTCTGGGAATTTAAAGCACAATCACTCATTCATCTTTGATCCATCTCAAGCCCTTTGGTCCTTCTGGCCTTCTGCCCCAGGGTGCTCGGGAAGAAATAAGCCACCAAAAGCTTTGCCCCCCCCCCCCACAAAAAAGAAAAAACACCAGCCTTCTCCTCTTTGGTTGTTGGATTAGAGGGAAGGGAGACAATTCAGCGTGGGCCAGCGGAAATCTCCCCAACCCCTTCATTTTTTCCTTTTTTTTTTTTTTTTCTTTTGGTGAAATGTCGTTTTGTTTCAACTTCTTGAGTTTTATTGTCAAAATGATGAGAACCAGTGCTGAGCTGAGGCTGCTGAAAGCAATCTCCCTCCCTCCTTAAAGGCAACAGGCGCAGCTCTGGAGGCTCTTTGAAGGGAAATTCTGGCTCTCCAGGTTTTTCTGTTTAAAGGGTGGGGGGCGGGCGGGCTTCTTTTCTCCCCCCTTCTTCCTGTGATAAGATACAGATGATTCTGAAACACCAGCTACATTGTTTCATTCAGAGGTTTCCCCTTAAGAAAAAGACACTAACTGAGCTCTAGAAGCGTTCTTTTTATGTTTGGCTTGTTAAACTGGAACCACATTTAGTTTCTTTTTGTTTTGTTTTTTTAAAGCTCTCGATTTGTGGGATAAGTTTGTTTTCAAAGCAACTCTAAATGATTCCGGGTTCCAGGATATTACATTTGATTAACCTTAAAGCAAAAATGAAGTCTGGACAGAGTCAGGACTGTCCCCCCCCATTTTTATAGAATAAAAGAAAGACAAAAAGAAAGACATAAAGAAAGAAAGAAAGACATAAAGAAAGAAAGAAAGAAAGAAAGAAAGAAAGAGAAAAAGAAAAAAGGTCTTTTAATGCTCTACACTCAGGGCAAAGCAAAAGATGGCAAGCTGCCATTCCTCAATGTGTTTATTTCCCAAATTGCTGGCTATGAAGGTATTTGGAACGGGAGGGGGTGGAGGATGTTGAGCGGAGCTTGGTTTTCAAAAAAGCGGAGCAGCATCTTCATCCCAACGAGATGTTTCTTCAAACTCTCCAAATGTTTATAGCACATAGCTTATTTACTGCATGTGGAATGACTAAATGAAGCATTAGGAGGTCTCGGTGTCTGTATATTCCTTTAGCTCCAATGTAATCTTGTGTGTTTTGAAAATAGCCGAACTGAATATGGTCATAATATTTGGACTGAGCCACGACGGATCATTTCACCACATTAAGCCGGGCATTTAGTCGCCGACGAGGAAACAATTGAGGCTCGCACGCAGACACAAAGGGGCAGTTTGGACGGCTAGACGCTTCAAATAAGCTTTGTGGGGCCAAAGAGGAAAAAAAAAAGATGCCTTGTGATACTCATTCTCTTTCTGCTCTCACAGACGGCCATTATGCCGGGGTGTAAGAGGATTCAATCATGATGACAAAGTCGAGCGCTCTGATCCAGCCATTGTTCAACTGTCATCATTCTTGATAATTGCCTATGGGAAGAAAATCCCAGGAGGGGCTTTCATTCAGCTGTTACGCAACATGTCACACCCGGGGCATTAGGGCCGGCCGCGGGGTTATTGCTGCCAATTTGCCGAGCAGAAAGAAGAGCGACTATTCATCGAATGTCATGTCTTCCATTTTCAATCATTAAAGTTTGCATTAGTAGCCACCTCCTCTGTCTTTTTTATGCGTCTGTCGGAAAAACATGTGGTGTGTTTGTCTTAGGCTGCGCACGCCCCCCCCCCCCCCCCCCCCGGGGGGTGAGGGGGGGGGGGCCCCCCCCCCCCCCCCCCCCCCAGCAGGGATGTGGTGAAAGGGGAGGAACCCTCTCATACATCCACTCTATAACTCCCTGTGCAAAAGAGAGGCTTATTAAAAACAATTATTTTTCCAATGCTGTCTTCGAACTGCATGTTGAAAACGTCTGATGAAAAGATCATGTCCATATTTCAGCTCTGGAGTTCCCACAAGCCTTTTGTTGCACTGCTGAGGTTTATAAAGAGGAAATGGTTTGAAAAACTTTAACAGCCTGATGCTGCTGTGTGTGCTGTGCAGCATGTGGTTGGCGCTCAACACACACAGAAAGTATGTCTGTGCGATTTTATATGCCTCCTGTCTCTGGGAACATCTTGGCGCCATTACATGGGTTTAATGGCCATGATAGAAAATATGCCTTAAAAGCGAACGCCACATCTGTGAGGAATTGAACATGTAAAAAAGAGACCACAACAGTCAGCTGAATGACGATAGAGTGGCATCTGTAGGTCCCCCTCCCCCGGCATGGGATGACAAATACAGCCGCCTCTCTCTTTCTGCATAGGACACGCCGTCATTTCCATCCGGCTTTACGAATTACGGCCACGCTCGGTGTTTAAAACTCAGCTATGTTCGCGTCAAACCTCAGTTTTTTGCCATTACTTCATCACACAGTGTTCTTATTCGTTATGTGGAATCCCGGGATTCGTCCCCAGCACCCCCATGTAGCTATCCATCATCCCTAACAAGTCTTTCCTGTGACTATGGAAACTAAACTGCAGAAGTGGTTCCAGTGGGGCATCGGCCATTGTTTAGCTGCGCTTTTGATCAATGTGATTAATTGTGTTTGCTAGTAGATGCAAGCAAGGAAGAGTTGGTACAGCTGGTCTAACTGCCCATTAAAACCTACAGGTAACTCATATATCACTAAGAGGCATGCAGTATACACACACACTTAACTGGTCCACTCTATCTATCTATCTATCTATCTATCTATCTATCTATCTATCTATCTATCT